GTCATATGTACGATGTACCCATATGTTTGAGGATCATGGGCCAGGACACCCACTGTTGGCATATGTACGATGTACCCACATGTTTGAGGCTCATGGGCCACTACACCCACAGTTGTCATATGTACGATGTACCCGTATGTTAGAGGCTCATGGACCACTACACCCACTGTTGGCATATGTACGATGTACCCGTATGTTAGAGGCTCATGGGCCATGACCCCTACTGTTGGCATATGTACGATGTACCCACATGTTTGAGGCTCATGGGCCATGACACCAACTGTTGGCATATGTACGATGTACCCATATGTTTGAGGCTCCTGGGCCATGACACCAACTGTTGGCATATGTACAATGTACCCGTATGTTTGAGGCTCATGGACCACGACACCCACTGTTGGCATATGTACAATGTACCCTTATGTTTGAGGCTCCTGGGTCAAAACACCAACTATTGGCATATGTACGATGTACCCGTATGTTTGAGGATCATGGGCCACAACACCCACTGTTGGCATATGTACGATGTACCCGTATGTTTGAGGCTCCCAGACCACTACACCCACTGTTGGCATATGTACGATGTACCCATATGTTTGAGGCTCATGGACCACGACACCCACTGTTGGCATATGTACGATGTACCCGTATGTTTGAGGATCATGGGCCACTACACCCACTGTTGGAATATGTATGATGTAACCGTATTTTTGAGGCTCCCAGACCACTACACCCACTGTTGGCATATGTACGATGTACCCATATGTTTGAGGCTCCTGGACCACTACACCCACTGTTGGCATATGTAAGATGTACCCACATGTTTGAGGCTCCTGGGCCATAACACCAACTGTTGGCATATGTACGATGTACCCACATGTTTGAGGCTCATGGACCACGACACCCACTGTTGGCATATGTACGTTGTACCCGTATGTTTGAGGCTCATGGGCCACGACACCAACTGTTGGCATATGTACGATGTACCCATATGTTTGAGACTCATGGGCTACAACACCCACTGTTGGCATATGTACGATGTACCCACATGTTTGAGGCTCATGGGCCACGACACCCACTGTTGGCATATGTACAATGTACCCATATGTTTGAGGCTCATGGGTCACTACACCCACTGTTGGCATATGTACGATGTACCCGTATGTTTGAGGCTCATGGGCCACGACACCCACTGTTGGCATATGTACAATGTACCCTTATGTTTGAGGCTCCTGGGTCAATACACCCACTATTGGCATATGTACAATGTACCCGTATGTTTGAGGATCATTGGCCACAACACCCACTGTTGGCATATGTACGATGTACCCGTATGTTTGAGGCTCCCAGACCACTACACCCACTGTTGACATATGTATGATGTACCCATATGTTTGAGGCTCATGGACCACTACACCCACTCTTGGCATATGTAAGATGTACCCACATGTTTGAGGCTCCTGGGCCATGACACCAACTGTTGGCATATGTACGATGTACCCACATGTTTGAGGCTCATGGACCATGACACCAACGGTTGGCATATGTACGATGTACCCACATGTTTGAGGCTCATGGGCCACTACACCAACTGTTGGCATATGTACGATGTACCCATATGTTTGAGGCTCATGGGCTACGACACCCACTGTTGGCATATGTACGATGTACCCACATGTTTGAGGCTCATGGGCCACGACACCCACTGTTGGCATATGTACAATGTACCCATATGTTTGAGGCTCATGGGTCACTACACCCACTGTTGGCATATGTACGATGTACCCGTATGTTTGAGGCTCATGGGCCACGACACCCACTGTTGGCATATGTACAATGTACCCTTATGTTTGAGGCTCCTGGGTCAATACACCCACTATTGGCATATGTACGATGTACCCGTATGTTTGAGGCTCATGGGCCACAACACCCACTGTTGGCATATGTACGATGTACCCATATGTTTGAGGCTCCTGGACCACGACACCCACTGTTGGCATATGTACGATGTACACATATGTTTGAGGCTCCTGGACCACGACACCCACTGTTGGCATATGTAAGATGTACCCACATGTTTGAGGCTCCTGGGCCATGACACCAACTGTTGGCATATGTACGATGTACCCACATGTTTGAGGCTCATGGACCATGACACCAACTGTTGGCATATGTACGATGTACCCACATGTTTGAGGCTCATGGGCCACTACACCAACTGTTGGCATATGTACGATGTACCCATATGTTTGAGGCTCATGGGCTACGACACCCACTGTTGGCATATGTACAATGTACCCATATGTTTGAGGCTCATGGGTCACTACACCCACTGTTGGCATATGTACAATGTAACCGTATGTTTGAGGCTCATGGACCACTACACCCACTGTTGGCATATGTACGATGTACCCATATGTTTGAGGCTCATGGGCCATGACACCCACTGTTGGCATATGTACGATGTACCCACATGTTTGAGGCTCATGGGTCACTACACCCACTATTGGCATATGTTAGTGAGTGAGTGGGGTTTAACGCCGCTTTTAACATTATTCCAGTTATATCACGGCATGTCAGCTTAATGTGGGAGGAAAGCCCGAAGTGATGCAGGTCTCAGACGTTTACCACTTCGGTGAAACCACGAGCACGGGTATGGTGCTGACAAACCTTGTAACATAATTGGGGGAACCGGGATTCAAACCCACAATCATAGGTTTCTGGCTTGCCCAAGGGACGCCATGTTGCACAGCGAAGCATGGCGCCTTAGACGACTGGGCCACCCGTGCCCCCCTATTGGCATATGTACGATGTACCCATATGTTTTAGGTTCATTGGCCATTGTTGGCATATGTACGTATGTACCCATATGCTCTAGGTTAGCATAGGTTTTCAGCAACCCATGCTTGCTGTAAAAGGCGACTATGCTTGTCGTAAGAAACAACTAACATGATTGGGTGGTCAGACTCGCTGACTTGGTTGATGCATGTCATAGTATCCCAATTGCGTGGATCGATGCTCATGTTGTAAATCACTGGAGTGTTATTGCTTGAATATTGCTAAAAGCAGCATAAAACCATACTCACTCACTCACGCAAATAGAATTTGCTTACTTTCCCACTTGGGACACAAACAAAAAACCTTGTTTCACGTAAATATTTTCTCGCCTGGCTGAGGATGAATTATGCACATACTTACTGGTGGCAGAGCATTAACATCAGTGTGGAATTGATTTTAATTTGTCTTTAATTGAAAAAAATATTATGTATATCTACAATTTTACCTGAATGAAAATATTTCATAGCTCTTAGAAAAATAATGAATTTCACATTTCTTAAAAAAAGATCCACACTGCATGTCAGCATGAGGACATTTGAAGAAGAGAAGTATAACTCGGACATTTTACTTCTTTAAACCACTTCACAGATTGCATTTCCAATGTAGTACCATAGAAAAACAAGTTGAAACCAGTTTTGCACATGTATTCAATATTTAATATAACAACAGACAATAAAGTAATATGGATGGCCCTATCAGGAACACCAGAGGGGGTCATGACACGTGTATGTACTGGTATTAACTTTGAAGTAGAGTCCAGAGTGAGTGAGTGAGTTTGGTTTGACGCCGCTTTTAACAGTATTCCAGTTATATCACGGCATGTCAGCTTAATGTGGGAGGGAAGCCCAAAGTGATGCAGGTCTCAGACGTTTACCACTTCGGTGAAACCCACGAGTAGGTGTATGGTGCTGACAAACCTAGAAACAATCGGTGTGAATCAGGATTCGAACCCACAATTACAGGTTTCTGGCATGCCCAATAGACCCAACTCTGCACAGCGAATCGTGGCACCTTAGACAACTGGGCCACCCGTGTCCCCAGGAGAGTCCAGAATTGAACTGGGGTTCAACAAATGAATCACTGATAACCATCCTCCAAGTTTTATTGGTATATTACATATGACATGTTTACTACGGTATGTACAAGACAGTCATTATAAATCAATTATATACTGTACATATCTTTCTTTTTCTCCATGATGCGGGACATATTTATAACAAAATGATAAGATCATTTGTAATAATAAGATTTGATTCATGACATCAAAAACATTTTTATGACCAGCCTGGACTTTTGGCTATGAAAATCTGTGAAAACATTAAATTGTTCTGGCTGAGTCATCTTCCTAAGGCAAGGGAGTTAACTGACTGTAAAGTCCAGTTTTCACCCTTGCTGATCCAGGCTGGATCTTCTGGGCTTGATCGTAGCGCCACCAGTGGCTGTTAGGAGTTATGTGCCTTTTATGTCCCTCCTATTTACCAATCAGATTCCACCTCTCATACCAATTGCATTTGCTTCAAACAAAATGGTGGCGCCCAGTGAAGACGATCTACTCAATAATCAAGATCTATATTGTAATAACACGGGTCTTACCCTGCAAAGTGCATCAAATCATGTGAGCACCTTGATTAAAATCATGAAAAGATTTGGAAAATAACTGTTGATGCCAAGTTGACGGTACACATGCTTTGTAAATCCTGCAATCAACAGAAATCTACACTGCAGTTCATGAACTGGATGTCGATTTCATTACACGATTTTGATTGGACTGGACATACTCGCTAGTCCAGCCAAAGTATGACTCCATAATTCCAGCTTAGTTAGGCAAGGGTGGAAACTAGACTTTAATAGTCAGTTAACTCCCTTGCCTCTGGAAGATGGATCAAAGCAAACATTTACAAAATTAGCTCAAACCATAAACATGTCCAAATGATCATATTAATTTCCCTAGCAATGAGAAGCATGTCATAGTTACGGTGAGAAACTAACTTATTTGCACAGAAAACACTGAGATTTCCATCCTGATATTCTTTCTCAATCTCATCATAATCAGATGCCTTACTCCGTAACAATACATTTCTGCATGATGATCTGACAAAAACAACAAACACTACAACAATGTGAAAAAATTCCACAGAACATGGAAATGTCCTCGTTTTGTGTGTAGATGTCATAGTGTATCAAATACTCACAATACATTAATGCCACCTTCATTAGTTTGCATTCAGAACTACCCATTTATGTTCGTTTTTGAGATACAGAAATCAGGTTTGCAGCTTTGAAGGCTCCTCTACTGACTGGCTGATTAGAAAGTGGAGGGTTTGGCATGTTCATGCAAGAGATATGGAATTGGAGCAAGATAACAACGAGACAGTTCCTGTCCGTGCTTATCTCCGTGTCGCCAGACACTGGTTGACCACCTCCAGCAAGTGAGAGTTCTCCAGGGCCGCTGCAACTCTCTCCTTGTCCGCCAGCTGCTTGTTCACTGAAATAAACAAAGTCCTTCAGTCACACTGATCAGAATCTGTCAGTAGTCCCAAGAACCAGCAGAAATAGATTGCTACTGCTCCTGTTGGGTATCTAGTGGTCCTGACCAAAAGATGGTAAGCTTATCTAGAGCTCTGTGTACAATGAAGCGAGACACCCTATCTGTCTGAGATATTATTCCAAAGAATTGCCAAGGAACGTGTTTCCAGTGTTTGAATTAGCTACCTGCTTGTCGAGTGTAGCTAAATGATGGACAGCTGAGTAATAATAAACTATTCAATAAAATGAAATTGTGGATGCCATCCAATTCCTGACTGAACAATACAGGTGGATCCAGGACTTTGAAAGACTGTGCTCTCTAAGTTACAAAGGGGGAAAAACATGATAGGTTTGCATGTTAGGGGTCTGAAGAAAACAGGAAGAGCAACCCCTGCACACAAATTCCTTATCCACCATCCATCCCAGTGTAGGGACCTGGAGGCAAGCTCGGTGAACATACCTGCCTCCTCTGATGCATGTGTTCCCGGTGTAATGCTCACGTCAACCTGCAAATCAATAAAAGGACAAGGTAGGATAAGAGTCAGTGTAGGCATTCTTGATTTGACAACTTTTTTAAGTTGGGGAAAACCGTGAAATATTGGTAAGACATTTATCAAACATGTTCAAATAGATGTCAGTTTGCCTCCTTCTTTCTTTAATACACTTGCAAGTTTTGGACTTCTGACATGGTCAACTGCTAAAGCCCCACATTTTTTCGTTTCATGGGCCCACCATCCCACGGTCTTAGAAAAAAAATAAACATAAAAATATTCCTGCTAGTAATATAGAGCCTCTTATACAAAATAAAATGTTATAATTTTACATAAATTCCATGTCAACTTAAGCAATTCAACAGCCCATTCAGTTTTAACTCCATGGCAGAATAATTGACATTTATTTTTACTTTGACCAACCTTGTGTGAAAAAGCTGGAATAAATCAGTGAAACACAAAAGTAAAAATGTGTGTCCTAAGCAAGGCCCAAAAAAGTGAAGATGGCCAGTTTTTTAATTCTAATTATGTGCGGGTGACAGACCCAAAATGATTTCTGTTTTCATCCACACCTCAGAGAATCAGCTTGGGTCAAAACCTTGCTCACCCACAGATAATAGAAAAATCCTCATGAAAACCTCAAGCCTTGTTGTTACATTTTACCCTTATGTATTCATTTAGTGGTTTTACATAAGTCCCAGGCATGCATTTGTTGAAATCAACAAAATCTAATTCTCATTCATATGAGGACCACCTCCGTGGTCCATTGGAAGAACGTTTGCCCAGAGAGCGGAAGGTTGGATGTTGATCCCCGGCTGTGTCCCACCAAAGGACATTAAATGATGGTACTTGTTGTTACCCTGCCTAGCACTCAGCATTAAGGGGCTAAAACAAAGACCAGAGTCCGTATACTGGGTCTGAGTGGGGTATTCATGTTAAACTGTGGCATGGTATCTCTGTGGGCTAGCATTATAAAATCGGCATTAGTCCGGATGAGTATAAGTAGCCACACATACACATGCATGCACGTCGCTATATAAATGCAATAATCTTGAACGTGACGTTAAACCCCATTTTCACCTCACATGGACCAAAAAGAGTCCCTATCATCGCAATTTAGTGGTCCCTTAAAAGAAAAAAGATACCACAACTAGTAAGTAATGTATTTTGGCAAGTGTACCGTCTTGTATTGATACAGAAAAAAATGTATGGTATATCATACCATCACATGAAAACTCAGATGCACTGGTGTACCAGTGTATCATTTCAATCCTTTATGGTATCACTACCATGTTAAAATCAAATGACTGAAGTCTCTGTGACCCACCTTAAACCTTGCTGGCAGTGACCTGATGAGCTTGACCCGGATGGACAGCCCGATGAGTGTAGCCATGCTGCAGTGGGGGATGGTCGGGGTGAACTCAATCTTGACCGAGTTGTCCCGGTCACTCACCTAAGGGTCAACATGATCATTTCTTAATTGTGTTATATGTGGTAAGTTGCATGTGATGCATGGAGTTGGTATTGGTGTAAGGAGCTAGAGTAGTCACATGACCTAACATGGCGACTTCCATGGATTCGTCGCGAGATATCATTCATTTGTTGTATCTCCGCCTGGCATTATGCTCCAATTGGCACCCCTTCCGATTGATCAATGTACACAAGACTTATTTATTCGTGTATAATATGTGTTATATGCATTCTTTATTTATGGGAAATTAAATTCTGGAAAAATATATGTCGCATATAAACATTTCAAGCTGTCAGCATAAACCACGAAATTTACAATCTTTCAACTCTGTTGTTTTTCACCAAAATATTATTCTAATAAGAGCCCCCTATTTCTAATTTTGAGAGCACCCTGGGCGCTTATTATGTTGAATACGGTAGTAGACATTTGCCATGTTTAAGGGCTTTGCTATATGTTTTCATTATAAGGACTAGCAGACGAAATGGAAGTTTCTACTGCTGATTTGTTGAAAACAGGTGGTTCATTAGAAGGTACCATGTTTAGGGTATATTTCTCGTCCAGACGTTTTATGAGCGAGTCTTTAGACTGTCATAATTCACATTTACATATAATAGTAAACAAATCTTAATAAATGTTGTTTTGACAGTATATAAATGAGAGAAAACACTTCTAATCAGTTTTGGTTGAAAATGTAAAACCCTCAGGGTCTGAATAGCTCTCCCTCTCAGGTTTTATGTTTGTAACCAAAACCTATGAGGCGTGTTTTCTCCAATACATCTGTACTCATGATCGTATTGATGATGAGTTTCACTTGGTTTTGTTCCGATTAATAGAATTTCACTTTTCAAAATTAATGGTCAAATGGTAAATTAACATCTCCCTCCCTCCCAAGTCCATATTTCTATGGACCTTTATTTCAAACATGAAGAAGTCAAAATCATGTGTTCATGGCTATATCATATAACTCAACAATTGCCCACAAGATGTACATAAATTAGCAAAACTTTAGAATTTGTCATAATAGTTATCAGATATCTTATTAAGAATGAGAACTGGACTTAGTTTCAACACTTGTATGTTTGGGACTTTTAGCAATACTACATAAATGTAAGGATAACATATGTCGAAAAGGCTGGTTTTGGAGGTCTATGGAAGTATTTTATTCATATTTGACCAAGTGACCCAAGTGAATTTTCTTAGGAGATGCCATCTAAGACAGTGTATAAAATATGGTTCAAAATTCATCTTAGGTAACGGACATGCTCATTGTTACATTTCTTCTTGAAATTTTTAAATCTGCCTTGTTTGATTGGTTTAGCCATTCTCGTTTTCTTGAACATGTTGAAAAAGCCAGTCAAAGAAGTGTAAGAAAGAAACAAGGCTTATATAATGTCAAATCACTTGAAAATGTCTGATACTTTTTACACATCAACACAAAGTTTTTCGTAAATTTAAGACCAGACATTTCCAGCATGTCAAGATCTATATTTGCAATCCATAATTGTCCAGACCTAAATTATGCCTTGATTACCACATAATGGCTTACTTGAACTCTTGACTCCTCCACGACCTTCAGCTCTTCTAGAGACAGCGGATGTTCAGGGTCATTAATAATGCGAATAAGATGTGGTCCAGTTAAGGAAGAATGGCAGTATCTCAGATTGTTCAGGGGCATTGCATACAATATGAATAAAAAAAACTGTACTAAATTCTTATTCCTATAAGCATTACTACACTAAAATAAGCTGGTGCCAAATTGGTAACCAGTAAGTTGAAAATGATGCTGCTCCTACTGGCCGAGTTATTTGATTAGTTCCAGCCTTGGATCATACAAGAATGAACGAATAAATATAGCTTTACGCTGCATCAGCCATTTTCCAGCTATTCGACATTTGTTTTGTTTGTTGTTTAACGCCGCACTCATGGGATACGATAACATGCAATGATGCATCAACCATGACAGTGAGCCTGACCACCCGATCACGTTAGACCAGCTATTCGAAGATTTACAAGAAGACACTCGTATCGTTGATGAATCGTAATAACAGAACCTACTAATCTTTATATTTATATAATAGTTAGGTGCTGTCATTAATGTAGATCTACGATATGAGTGCCTCATTGATTCGTTGATTACAGATCCTTTCATGTTGATCGAAAACCGAACAATTACTGTATTGGAGTCAATTATCTTCATCAGTACCATACAACAGAAATAGTTTAAAGGATATCAAACACCTCTCTGGTGTCTATTTCATCTACTACATTCTCGTCTTCATTTTCGGGCAGAATATCTCTGTCCTTGGCGCTTTGATAAACGACGGGGTTCGCATTGTCAAGGTCCCCGGCCATTTTGAAATACAAAAATTACAAATTGTAAATGAAATAGGATTGTTTTGCGTTTCGTAGAAAAGATCAATAATCACATAATGATTGCCTTAACAGTAGACGAAGCCTTCATAAAGCGATTTGTGTACACAGGGATAATGGTATGGCCTCTAAAGCAAAGATTTTATTTCGAGTTGGAAAACAAATTCATAGTCAGACTTTTGGAGCTCTTCCGATTAAGATTTTTGTCAGCAAAGGGGTGTAGTCAAAAACGGCCTCAAAACTCAAGGCGGCTACACAATAGACAAAATGACCACAAAGACATAGTCAAAACGGCCACAAAAATGTCATAACAGTCACAATGACCACATGTAAAAAGTCAGATTAGCCCTTGTGGCCCTTTATAGACTGTGGGTTGTAGCTGTTTTGACATTACCTTTTGAAGCCGTTCTGACATGAGGCCGTTTTGACCTGCTCCCCTCCACTGGTCTCATCTAATTTCAAGATCTCCCTAAACAGTGCCGGAAAGGTGACAGCGCCGAGGCGCTTTATTCAAATGTACCTGTGGATTCTCCCTAAAATTGTATGGCAATTAAGTCCCAATTCTTGTGCATAGTTGAGTAGAGAAAATAGTTTCCAAGCTATCTGATATATTTAGATGGATGGTGATTTGTTATTTTCCAGCTGCGGATCCAGGATTTTGAAAAAGGGGACCCGTGAAGATCTGATGAAAATAGATCTTTAGCAACCCATGCTTGCCATAAAATGAGACTATGCTTATTGAAAGAGGCGACATACAGGATCAGGTGGTCTGGCTCGCTGACTTGGTTGATGCATGTCATCGTATCCCGATTGCCTGGATCGATGCTCATGATGTCAATCACTGGTTTGTCAGGTCCAGACTCGATTATTTCCAGACTGCTGTCAAATAGCTGGAATATTTCTGAGTGAGGCATTAAACAATAAACACACAAACGAAAAAAGGGGTTTTCCACATGGGCCATTTTTGTAACTTCAGTGGAGGGGGCTTGGTAATAAGCCTACCAAAATTGATCAGAAACACAATATGTGAACCATTATTAATTTTGCTATAAAAAACAAATCAGCATGTTATCAAGTGCTTACAAAACGTCATCAGATGGAAATCTAATGGAAAAGTCACTTTAAAATAGTCAGGCACTGATTTTCCATCCCATTGCTTCTGGGATTCCTGGTTATAATAACAATCAGTGGATTGAATGGTCCAGATTTGATCATTTAAAGTCCATGTTACACAACAAACAAATTACCCAATGTCTTCAGGAGAATTAATGAAGTGAACATGATAATTATGGGACTTTACAATTATTCATTATCCCTAAAACCAGTTATTTGACACAATTTCACTGGATAGTGGGGCAAGAATGGCCCTGTCGACTAAGGCTCCGCAATTCGTCTTGCAGAGTTGCGTCCCTTTGGCTCTCCCAAAACCCCGGATATGGGATTTGAATCCCGGTTGCTCCAATTATGTTTCTAGGTTTGTCAGCACTGTACCCGTGTTTGTGGATTTTAACAAAGTGGTTAACGTCCAAAACCTGCATCACTTTGTGCTTTCCTCCCACAATAAGCTGACATGCCGTGATCCAACAGGAATAATGTTAAAAGCGTCGTTAAACCCAACTCATTCACCAGATCGTATCATCAGGATTTAAACGTTTTTTATTATATACTAGATATTGATTCACCTATAGCATGTGGAGTATTATTAATCAGAATTTATTTTCCAGAAACTAGACAGTGACAGATGAAAAATATGTCTCAGAAAGTGAAGAAAAAGCACTACTACAGGCAGGGTGATGTTGTTGCCATTGAAGAAGATGCAACACATGAATTTAAAGGTCACCGCAACCTGGCAATTGAAGAGCTACCGCCCTGGACGAAAGAGACCAAAACATCAAGAGCATCAAGAAGGGCTGTGTCAAGGTATTCTCATAGTGCCTACCTCGTTTCATCACTACATGGGAACAGAGGTTTGTCCTTTAGGCATGCTAGTATAAACCAGTGAGTATGGTTATGTATATAGTGGCTGTTTCATTTGAATACTGTAAACTATGGTTATAACATACTCAAAGGGACCACTAATTATAGTTCGTTATAATAGTGGTTCGTTAAAATCATTTTGACTAAAATACACAGCAAATGGTCGGGACCTAAAAAGCAGACCTTTGTATCCAGGCCTTCCAATGAAAACTGACTGACTGCAACAAGAAACTGTTTTAAGTCTACAATACACAAGGAATTGACAACATAAAACAATAAGAACATAACCCAAACCTAAGAAACAGCATCATAGATCTGAGAGCATGGAAACGGCAGCACTAAAACACAAAGACCACAGCCTTCTAAACTAGGCATGCACAGAACAAGAAGGAAGTTAATTGTTATACCATGAGGATCAACAAACAGCAAGTACATTTACATCTTACAGTGTCAATAAAACAATACATATCTAAAATATTCTATATTGGCGCTGTAAGATGTAAATGTACTTTTCACAATACTTGATCACGATATGTTTAAGAGCCTGTTTACATTGGTAAAAGCCTGTTTCATCTGTGTAAGAGCCTGTTTACATCTGTAAGACCCTGTTTCGTCTGTGTAAGAGCCTGTTTCATCTGTGTAAGAGCCTGTTTACATCTGTAAGAGCCTGTTTCATCTGTAAAAGCCTGTTGTCAGTCTGCAGTGTACTAAGATCTATCTGTTTTGTCTTTATGTGTCTTATGTATATGAACATGCCTCATGGAATCTTGAACAGGATTAACTGCAAGGCTTTCTCCACAGGGCTCTGAATGCCTTCCTCAATACAGGCAAAGGTGGGACTGTCTATCTTGGAGTCATTGATGATGGCACCGTCCTGGGTCTGAAGCTCACACTCTATCAGGTTAGCTTTCTGTGTGTGTGAATAATCAAGGGAAAGACATTCACTGGGCAAGTTTTAATTTTTAATGGTGTACACAGGTGGTCCAAGGTGTCAAGATTTACTCTTTTGAGTTGCTTCCCCTTGAAGTGAAAGGATCTGCTGATTGTGAGTTTGAATTAGGGGTGATTCGATACATCAGTGAATCAATGCATCGTAAGTTTTCATGTGACGATGCGATACACAATACTTCTTTTTCTGTATGGAATCAGAGCAATACACTTTATTATTTTATTTATTAATTTATTACTTACTCTTGTTTAGTAACCCCCACCCCCACCCTAGGTGTTGTAATTAGCTATTCAAGTTCATTACTAAAACTAGCTGCTACGAACATGTGTCTGCAGTTAGCTTTTCCTTTGGAACCTGCTCTGAAATATTTATAGTCAAGAAGTTTCCATGTGATTGATGTAAATAATTGATTGCGGCATGTACCGATCATGACCTATGTATCATGTTACGTATCGTATCGTGACCTTGCTGTATCGTTTCACCCCAAGTTTGATGTCAGTTTTGTGCTGTGTATGATCCTATTCAGTGCCAAACTTTAGCCTGATGGATACAACACAGTGGTATGTGTCTTAAACAGTTGGTAATTATATAGAGAAACAGTCAACGTTACAGGGGGTGGTAGGCTAGCCTAGTGGTTAAAGTGTTCGCTCGTCACGCCGAAGGCTCGGGTTCACATCCCCATATGTGTACAATGTGTGAAGGCCATTTCTGGTGTCCTCCGCCATGATATTGTTGGAATATTGCTAACAGCGGCGTAAAACTCGTTCACACACTCAAAGTTACAGTGTTTGCGAGCCTGATTCAGGTCATCCCAACAACACTTCAAATATGTTCATCGCATATTCATGTTTTATGATCACCAGTAGGATGTTTCCTCAATGTTTATCAGTGTACATTGTCCTTTTTTTGTTTGTTAGAAGATATCATTTTATAATAGTTACTGTTATTTTTTGTTCTCAGAAAGACCATGTAGTGTCCAGTGTGCAGGACCTGTTCTCTCGCTACCATCCCCCTGTCCCCACACACAGGTACATGGTGAAGTTCGTCCCGGTGTTGGGGGAGAGCAGCACAGAGGAACAGGTGCTCAGGCTTATCTCTAAGTCAGACAGGTGAGAGCTTATCTCCAAGGCAGACAGGGGAGAGCTTATCTCCAATCAGACAACTGAGAGTTTATCTCCAAGGCAGACAGGTGAGAGCTTATCTCTAAGTCAGACAGGTGAGAGCTTATCTCCAATCAGACAACTGAGAGTTTATCTCCAAGTCAGACAGGTGAGAGCTTATCTCCAAGTCAGACAGGTGAGAGCTTATCTCCAAGTCAGACAGGTCAGAGTTGATATCCAAGTCAGACAGGTGAGAGCTTATCTCCAATCAGACAACTGAGAGTTTATCTCCAAGTCAGACAGGTGAGAGCTTATCTCCAAGGCAGACAGGTGTGAGCTTATCTCCAAGTCAGACAGGTTAGAGTATATCTCCAAGTCAGACAGGTTAGAGTATATCTCCAAGTCAGACAGGTCAGAGTTGATATCCAAGTCAGACAGGTGAGAGCTTATCTCCAATCAGACAACTGAGAGTTTATCTCCAAGTCAGACAGGTGAGAGCTTATCTCCAAGGCAGACAGGTGAGAGCTTATCTCCAAGTCAGACAGGTGAGAGCTTATCTCCAAGTCAGACAGGTGAGAGCTTATCTTCAAGTCAGACAGGTGAGAGCTTATCTCCAAGTCAGACAGGTCAGAGTTGATATCCAAGTCAGACAGGTGAGAGCTTATCTCCAATCAGACAACTGAGAGTTTATCTCCAAGTCAGACAGGTGAGAGCTTATCTCCAAGGCAGACAGGTGAGAGTATATCTCCAAATCAGACAACTGAGAGTTTATCTCCAAGTCAGACAAGTTAATAGTTCATCTTAAAGTAGATCTTCAAGAGTTCATCTTCAAATCAGCCAGCTCCTGTGATCTTAGCACTACAACTATCATACCTCTAGAGCATGGGACTTATGATAGATGAAGCAATAAGATCACCTTGTGGACCGTTGCCTTGGTTAGTGTTTGTGAAGCGAGGATGGAAGCAAAAACTTTGTATGTGCACAACAGCTGCACTAACCATTGTACACACCCTCTTGTTTCAGTGACTATTCCGACACCTCCCAGAGACATCGAGCCCACGTGTTCTGTTCCCATCACTACTGCTGCACTAACCATTGTACACACCCTCTTGTTTCAGTGACTATTCCGACACCTCCCAGAGACATCGAGCCCACGTGTTCCGTTCCCATCACTACTGCTGGTGTGATAAAGATGCAGTGGCACAGATCAACATGGTAGGAAGTAGAATTGAACTGTTGGGAAAAGTGACTGTTTTCATTTTGCCTTTTTTCAAGTAGCACTATCCCATCATGATCTGGACCTGCTCGGGCTGCTTGTTGACACCAAGTCTAGAGCAAATGTCAGTAAAAATTCCCAAATTGGAATTAAACATTTCCTAATTCATGTAATTATAGTTATAACTAAACTTGTTCCTTTGGAGAGGCCAATAATGATGAGAGGCTTTAATGCTTATTTTTACATTATTGCAATGTTACCTCAGAATTTAGGAAAATAACTTTTAATAATTCCAAGTTTGAATAAAAATAATGATACTTTTCCCTAATTTCCCTGCTCAGGGCACTTGGTTTGGCATCCAAGTTTCATAAGGTACACAGTGATGTTAAAATAACCCATTAACAGTTGGTAGCAGAATTTTGCTGACATTCTATTTTCAGAGTATTAGGCCATCTCATTGAAATCAGATCTTTTACTCCCATCCACTAGCTCTGTGACTGAAGATCTGAGGACACTACATCATGTCCATAGGTCACATCTTGTGAACATCTTGTGAACAGCCAATCAGCATCGAGGCTTGTATATCTACACCCAAATGGGTGCACTGTCGAGGGTATATTTTTGTTCAGTGGGGTTTTTCTTTTACTTTGATACAAATTTTTGTAACAAGGAGGTAAAGACATGATTCAGAATTGTAATGAACATGCACTGCCGTATCTGAGAACATAATTGTGTTCATGACTTCACATACTAAATGACACACAAAGAAGTTCGATGCTAACACTTATAATGGTTATTATAACCACTGCACAGGACTGTTGGCATTATGAAATAGATTCACCTCTCCTGAAATAAACTGCACATTTTCTTGTCTAGGATCTAAATTCTACCATGTCTACTAGTCTTGAATCATCTTCCTGAGGCAAGGGAGTTAACTGACTATGAAAGTCCAGTTTCCACCCTTGCTGAACTAGGCTGCAAATTCTGGGTTCGCTTGTAGTGCCACTAGTGACTATTACGAGTTATATCCATCTATGTCCCACCAACTGTCCAATCAGATTCCACTTCTCATATCACTTAATTGCTTCAAGCAAAATGGTGGCACCCAGTGAAGACGATCTGATAAAAAAACAAGATCTATAGGGTGACAAAACAGGTCTTACTTCGCGAAGTGCATCAAATCCAGTGAGCACCTTGTTTAAAAACATGAAAACATTTGGTAAAAAATGTTGACGACAAGTTGACGGTACACATGCTGTGCAAATCCTGCAATCAACCAAAATCTGCACGGCAGTTCATGCACTGATGTTGATTTCGTGATGCTATTTTGTTTGGATCACCATCTGGAACAAATCTAATGTAATTGCTTCCGGTTGAGCTGTCCTGACAACTTGAATAGAAACTACATCTTGATACATTTTGTTTCTTCAAAGAAATGGGGGGATTCCGACAAATTATGAAGTAATGAGACCCTTTAAACGTATGTCTGATCTGAATTTGAATTAAAAAAATTATAGCTAAGCATCCCCTCCTCCAAGTGTATGTCTTCTAAACTGCAAATGCAGAGCTAAGTCTTCCTTGTTTCATGACACCAGGGGGTGCTGTCTCCGGACTATGTGATAGAGCTAAGTCTTCCTTCATTGCTGACACCAGGGGGTGCTGTCTCCGGACTATGTGATAGAGCTAAGTCTTCCTTCATTGCTGACACCAGGGGGTGCTGTCTCCCGACTATGTGATAGAGCTAAGTCTTCCTTCATTGCTGACACCAGGGGGTGCTGTCTCCGGACTATGTGATAGAGATTACAATCAAGCCGTGGGACCCTGCTGACCCACGCAGCACTGACGGGGTGGGGACCGTGGTGAACCTGCATCCCATACATGAAGATGAGGAGGGCAATGTCTACATGAGGAGACAGGCCAGTGTTGTCAAGGTAACAGCATTTGTATAATATCTCATTTCTCCAGACTTTTCTGTTTTATTTTCTCATGTAATTACAAGCAGGAAAATCATTAGGGATAAGCTTGTAGATACGTGACCAGGGGTTGTTTATTTCTTTGTTAGCAGGTCCACCGTGCTTATAATTTTGAATATGTTATCTTTGCTGATTTCCAACATTTCCATCTAAATGGACATGAAATCATAGAAGTGCCCTTATTCTGAACATCTTTTATATGCTCGAACTCAAAGCCTATAGAAACATGGAGAAGTATGCATGTTAAGAAGAGATGTTTCCAATGTGTACCAACTAATGACAAAACTAACAATCAGTCAAGTGTTACCACAGAGTGTCTTTTTTCTTATCACGATATGCACGTGATTTCCAAATTTTACACGCTAATCAATGGTGCACCTGGAGTCATGGATCTATGACGTTACATGTGATGCATTCATGAGAATCAGTTCACAAAACATACCAGTATATTAGTTTGTGCATCTAACCAATTTAATATCTCTTGAATATGAGCATTTCTTCATATATTAACCAACATGCTTGGTGTTCTCGTTTCTTTTGTTAGTTGGTATATAAATATCTGTAAATATGGCATATGAGAAAAATTGTACCACAACATTATTACTTCTGCTCGCCTCAAAGAGTCAAGTGAGCTTTTGTTTGTGGCACATTGTCACCACTCATCCAGTTGTCCTTCTGTCTGTTGTTAACGTCTCTGACACTACAGGTCCCATGTACATGTAACTTTGTGTGAATTATTCCAGCTATGTCACTCATCCAGTTGTCCTTCTGTCTGTTGTTAACGTCTCTGACACTACAGGTCCCATGTACATGTTACTTTGTGTGAATTATTCCAGCTATGTCTCTCATCCAGTTGTCCTTCTGTCTGTTGTTAACGTCTCTGACACTACAGGTCCCATGTACATGTTACTTTGTGTGAATTATTCCAGCTATGTCACTCATCCAGTTGTCCTTCTGTCTGTTGTTAACGTCTCTGACACTACAGGTCCCATGTACATGTTACTTTGTGTGAATTATTCCAGCTATGTCACTCATCCAGTTGTCCTTCTGTCTGTTGTTAACGTCTCTGACACTACAGGTCCCATGTACATGTTACTTTGTGTGAATTATTCCAGCTATGTCTCTCATCCAGTTGTCACTCTGTCTGTTGTTAACGTCTCTGAAACTACAGGTCCCATGTACATGTTACTTTGTGTGAATTATTCCAGCTTTGTCTCTCATCCAGTTGTCCTTCTGTCTGTTGTTAACGTCTCTGACACTACAGGTCCCATGTACATGTAACTTCGTGTGAATTATTCCAGCTATGTCACTCATCCAGTTGTCCTTCTGTCTGTTGTTAACGTCTCTGACACTACAGGTCCCATGTACATGTTACTTTGTGTGAATTATTCCAGCTATGTCACTCATACCCTAACATACCCAAGCCAGGGCTGTTGCAGCCTTATTTAAAAACCCATTAAAAAAACAACTTTTTTGTATTGACATTTTCCATATCTGTAGATTTTTAGAAGTGTGGCCAAAGATATATCTTAAGTTTTTGCCACTTTATGAATCTTGACCTTGACCTTGGGCAATCTAAATATCCAAGGAGGTGCAAAACTGAAAAAGTATTTCTTTGACCCCAATGCACAATTGTCTATCTGCCGACATTTTTCACTGAATTATCTGCATACATATGGCGAAAAGTAGACTTTCACATTTGGTTTCCAAATAGAGATGTTTTCATACATTGCAATATCAATGTACATATGTCAGTAAATCTTTAATGTTGATGTTGTATGGGTACAAATTTATCGGACACCATGACACACAATCAACCAAGTCATCAATTCCAATTATTGTGGTGATAATTAATGTTTTTGCTGATAATAGTGCCAATAATAAGGAAGGTGACTTCATGCTTAGCTATTCATAACTGATGAATTATGTTCGATTGTTTGTTTATTTATTTAACGCAACACTCAGCAATATTACTGCTATATGACGGCGGTCTGTAAATAATCGAGTCTGGACCAGACAATCCAGTGGTTGGCATCATGAGCATCCATCCATGCAATTGGGATATGATGACATGCATCCTGTCTCATGCATCACAGATAAGAGCTCATGCAAATATCATGATACGTCTTGGATTGTGAGCAAGGTATCGTGATACATATCGGATCGGACAGTTGGTGTATTGTCCCAGCCCTAGTAACCATCATGACATTTTGATAATATATTTGAATACTTTATCTAGTTGCAAGTCACTGTCAAGAATTCATATTTAACAGAGTCATCCCCTTTGTTTTTAGTCATAATGAAAGTTGTCCAATTTTGGCACTCTGTACCATGCTCAGATGGTAAAACAGTTTCTTAAATAATGACCATTTTATGTATAACTGAAAACATATTTGGAAATTTTAAACTGTTTATTACACATTCAGTTGAGCTACAGTGCCAGACACTATATCAAATCAAAACAACCTGCCATGATATTGCTGGAATATTGCTAAAAGCAGGGTAAGACAATACTCACTCATTCACTCAATTCAGAACATGAGTGAGTGGTAGTTTTTACTTCCCTTTTAAAAAAACAACAAAAATCCTTAAATATTACAATTCAAATACTATATTCCAGTAATTTACTCATCAAGGAATACATTTATGTAGTGGGGCCCTTTCCCAGGTTGATTGTAAACACCTGTTTATTGTTTACACAACTGTTTATTTGGTGACATACTAGTTTGAACAACTGATGATAAAAAAAGCCTACCCACAATATATTTTCAAAAGCCATTGCCCAAGAACCAATTCTTTTATTTTTTTAATCCTTACCTTGTTTACTGAAGATGTTTTCATTGCTCCCATGTTTCTCTTTTGCATTAATATAGTGTTTCAAGTAAGTTGAATTTCCTTTTCTTCCACACAGTATACGTTGAATGAAATTGCCCAGTTGACACGGCAACAGGTGAAGGAAGAGTGTGAGGCAGAGATCAGAAGGTATGTTGGGTCGGTCATGTTCATCATCAGGGCAGTTGTTCAGTGCCTCACTACTGAGCAACCGGGTTAGAATAGGTCTTCAGCAACCCATGCTTGCCGTAAAAGGCGACTATGCTTGTCGTAAAAGGCGACTAACGGGATTGGGTGGTCTGGCTCGCTGACTTGGTTGATGCATGTCATTGATCCCAATTGCGTGGATCGATGCTCATGATATTAATCACTGGATTGTCTGGTACAGACTCGATTATTTACAGACCGCAGTCATATAGCTGGAATATTGCTGAGTGCGACGTTAAACAACAAACAAACAAACAAACAAACCAACCACTACTGAGCAAGCCTTGGGAAATATTATTAGACGTGTTTCTGAAGATGGTCATGGAAGAATGTAGCTGTAACCATGGTAACTGTTTTATCATCTCAAATTGTGTTTCCAACATATTCTAACTTGCAAAGATCTGGGTTAGAATAGGTCTTCAGTTACCCATGCTTGCTGAAAGAGGTGACTATGCTTGTTGTCAGAGGCAACTGACGGGATCAGGTGGTCAGGCTTGCCGACTTGGTTCATGGGTCCCAGATGCTTGGGTAGATCGATGCTGATGATGACAATCATTGGATTATCTGGTCCAGACTTGATTATTTACAGATTGCTGTCATAAAGCTGGAATATTGCTGAGTAGGACTATATATAAACAACAAATAAACAAGCATTTCCTGAATTTCATTTCGTTTGTCCACTTTTGCTTCCCTCTCAAAAAAAGAAAGATTGTGTCTGCTTTCCCACTATGTTCGCCTCAAAACAAAGCACAATGTCACTTGGCTACAGGACTATCATGTGATCCATATCAACCAATGGTTAAACTTGGCTAAATATAGACTAGAAATTTCCCAGCCTCTTTCAGTAACAAACATGCAAACAAGACATCATTCTGTTTCAAAACAGCATTTATTCATAAATGTACATTGAGATTTGTTCAAGATTTCTAATTTAAGATAATAATGTCATATTTACTGCTGGTCCTAGTAAACAAAAACACTGCAAATGTTATTTAAAATTCCCAAGGAGGAACAAAAGATTTATGTTATGGATTAACAAGTCTTCTCGACTTGTGTTTCTGTGATACAGGACCTTTAAAGAGCAAGGGGTCTTATTAAATGCTTGTTCATACATTGCTGCATTGAAAGCAGTGTTAAAATACCTATGAACTTTAGAATATAGGAACTTTTAAACATCCCACTTTTAAACAAAATAATGTTTTTTTCATATGCCTGCCAAGGGAAATTAATTTGGAATTTTATATAGTCCCCTGCAGATGATTGATAACAAGGTTCAGACAAACTTCAAAACACTTTTGTGATGCTTGACTTTTAATGGTCCTATTATGAGATTACTTGCATTGAAAAGGCCTGTAAATCATAGACATTAGTCTGAAAATGATGACTAGTATTCATATCTGCAACAGTGTCATTCTCCTTCTTGTAGGTTAAAGAAAGAAATATCTAGCTTGTCTTGCCCAACTGATGCTGAAGATCAGAACACCAGCCAACGGCCCTGATGTCTGGACAGCTGTGTTTGATGTGACCAGATGACAAGAACTTGAAACCAACATGCTGTGCAGTCCCACATGATGAATAGTGTGTCACATGATGTGATGATCAGAGTGTCATGTGATCTAATGGTCAGTGTGTCACAGGATCTGATGTCAGTATGTCATGTGATCTAATGGTCAGTGTGTCACATGATGTGATGATCAGTGTGTCATGTGATCTAATGGTCAGTGTGTCACATGATGTGATGATCAGTGTGTCATGTGATCTAATGGTCAGTGTGTCACATGATGTGATGATCAGTGTGTCATGTGATCTAATGGTCAGTGTGTCACATGATGTGATGATCAGTGTGTCATGTGATATAATGGTCAGTGACACATGATGTGATGATCAGTGTGTCATGTGATCTAATGGTCAGTGGCACATGATGTGATGATCAGTGTGTCATGTGATATAATGGTCAGTGGCACATGATGTGATGATCAGTGTGTCATGTGATATAATGGTCAGTGGCACATGATGTGATGATCAGAGTGTTGTGATCTGATGGTCAGTGGCACATGATGTGATGATCAGAGTGTTGTGATCTGATGGTCAGTGGCACATGATGTGATGATCAGAGTGTTGTGATCTGATGGTCAGTGGCACATGATGTGATGATCAGAGTGTTGTGATCTGATGGTCAGTGGCACATGATGTGATGATCAGAGTGTTGTGATCTGATGGTCAGTGGCACATGATGTGATGATCAGAGTGTTGTGATCTGATGGTCAGTGTGTCGTCAGTAATGATGTTATGATGTGATCATCAGTGTGTCACATGATGTGATGGTCAGTGTGCCCCTTGATGTGACAAATAATCTGATACAATGAATAATTGGATATAACCAATTCAGTTATAATCCCTATGTATTTGGGAAACAAGAACTTATATTTTTATCAAAAAGACTGTATCCAGAAATTAGTACTTTTGTTCTTTACTTGTATCAGCAGCTGAGACAATCATACACCAGCCCAAAGATGAAACAAGATGGGAACTAAATCAGGTTCATATGATTTGTTAATAGTGAATCTGGACAAGACAATCCAGTGATTGATATTATGAGTGTATGTTGGCTCGCCATCAGATCTACTAAGTCACCTCTTACGACTAGTATAGTGTTCAAGGGACCAATTGTAACCCGGATCCCAAATGGTTCCCAATTTAGCCGCCTCTTGGGAGTAGTGTTGTGGTGATGCGGACACAAAGCATGTTCAAAGCCAACATGAAATGAAAAAACGACATCAACCCCCACTTGTAGTTATAATAGAACTTCCAAAGGACACTTACCAAAGATATCAAAAGAATATCACTAATGACAAAAAATAGCAATGCATAGGTGGTAACTCTACTTTGTAATTTCATTTCGTAGATGAAACATATTCCATGTTTCACTAGTACATGAAACTGATTTTCTTTTTTTCACTGATACAGTGTCACAAATCAGTTTCATTGTCTTGGATAGTGTAATTATCAATTAGCTTTGACATTTGCATGATTCAATTTCCTGGGAAACTAAAAAGTACTTTTCACATGGAAAAAAAGTCACAAACCCATTTCCATAATCATAAAAAAATCTCTGCTAAACGTACACTGCGACACAGATTGTTGGTTTACATCAAATATCTGTAACAGATTACGAGCTGCGTAATCTGAGCAAGAAGTCTATACGTTGGCGTCATGTTACCTCAACGCTATTGACTTAGATGTTACGTCCTCGCGTTGCACATTTCTGAAAGCACCAGGCGCCTTCTATCAGCATGACCGTATTCGCCCCCACACAATTTGGTACAGACCTCCTAAGAGCTCAGCACATACAATATTGCTGTTGCCGCAGTGGAGCATCTGTGGGATGAGCCAAACAGGCGTTTCCGTCAACGTCAATCAGGGCCACATAATCAGCAACTGATATTCCGAGCTACGACGAGGTCACGCCGTCGGGGTACATTACACGCACACAACCAAGCCACCGGTCCTGACCATGACTGTGAGTGAATCACATGATCCAAAAAGAGAGTGGGTCACGTGATCCAGCATGCAGTGTGTCGCACGATCTGTTGGCCAATGTGTCAAATGATCCGTAACTCACATTATCCGTTTTAAACAACAGTCAGATGTTAAATTGAAATAAACACTAAAACAATCACAACCTTTCTAGTGTATTTTATTTACGAGAAAATACAAAGTCAATGAGTACCGAAAACAAGATGCCCCTATAAAACATATCATTGATACTGATATGAATATATATAAGTCAATACACATAATTAGACAATGTGTATAGTGACTAAATATGTCAGTCAATATGTATATTGAGTGATTCATTCAGTTAATATACATAGTGACTGACATTTTCAGTCAATGTACATACTGCTTAAATAAAATGAGACTGGATTTTAGACAGAATGACTGAAATGAATTAAACTCCTTAATTTAATCTTATTTTAATTTGGATCTATTTTGATCTTACGAAGAGATGGCCACGGGATCCAAAGTCCTTCGACAGGATGGGTTCAACACCTTCACCCTTAGTTGTGATTCGTTTATTCTGTTTCTGACATTTCTGACAAAGTGATTCGTACTGTTCTCCTACCTGACGAGTGACATTAGCATATTTTGTCAATGCCAAACATTTTGTCACACCCACCACAGATTTAACACGTGAATATAAATATATGGCTTTCGCTGTTGTGAGGGTTTGTTTAGGAGTGCAAAATACATTTTCCATTCCATTTTACGTGGCCTTGACATTGATCACGTATGGTGCCTGAATGTACACAGAATGACAGCTCTGTCTCGTACACATTAAGATACACACTGCAAGTCTTGTACACTAGGCATAGGTGCTTCCTCTGTGGAGAAGTAAATTCAACCGTCAGTCATATAACGTTTTAAATATAACAAATTATCGGATGTAATAATCCCCAAGCAACCATAATGTACACTATAATTTATGCTTAAATGTTCAATTTTAATATTCCTTTTAACAATGCCTACTGGTATGAATCTAAATAAGCACAAAATAAGAAATGATTCTGGTGTATACATATATTGCTTTTCGGTCATTTTGAATAGTGAAATATAAAAAAAACGGAACATGTATTACACTTTCCTTCGCCTGCTCCGAAATAACATATTCCACTTCAAACATGTAAAAAAGTGGGTTCTCATTGTGTTATCAGTTGACAAAAAGGCATCGTCATCCATTTGGACTAGGTGTTTGGGACATTATAAAGTCCCTGTGAACAGGAACTAATGCTTACTCTGTTATTTTGTTTTGTGGTTAATTAGAAAAGTCAGTTTTGTCTGGCCTTGTGACAGTGACTGCGTACAATGAAAGTTGAAACATTAAAAGTTTGTGTATCAGACAAAAACAATAATAAAATTTCGAGTTATGTTATATGTCTAAAAAAACAAGACTAGGGACTAGCGAGATGTCATGATCCCTTTAATAATTTATTAAGTAACAGACGACAAGGTTATTTTTTTTGTAGGGTTTAATGCTGTCCAGTGGGTATTCTAGTAGGGATAGCTAAAAAGCAGACCACCCAGAAAGCTTCAAGACTCAATGATTAAGGCCAGAATTAGTTACCGTTTCTACTCCTACTCTCGGAAAACTCGCTCTAAGCACAGCCCATTCGCCAGTAACGAGGATAAACTACAGAGTCAGACTATGAATTTGAAATAATGAGAGCTGAGTTGAGTATTACGACACTAATACCACTCACAAAGGTCTTGCTTCGAAAGAGAGGGTGTATCTACATCCTATAGCTATTCGATTGAAACTAGGAAACATCATAACCATATAAGGCTGAATGTTGTTGAAATGTTATTTTGAAACAACTAATACTTATTCAAAATAAGTTAAGCATCGTTCCAGAGTTTTACAGTGAAGTGTGTGCAAACTGTAACACTGGCACCTCAACAAGTGTATGTTACGATAATGTTATTGGTTGGCAAGAAGCGGAGGTCCTGCAAAGATCAGATCAGTAGAAGAGGTTGAGGTCCTCAAATCTTGAGTCCCACTGAGAAGAGTTACAATATTCCTTCCTGAGCTTGGTGCTCGACACTCCTTCTGTGTAGGGCAGGAACTTGATGGTCATCAGCTTCTCACACAGCTCACGGGCAGGGAAGTTCTGCATGTCGTCACCGCGGACGTAGAGGGCACTCTCGGTTTTGTTGTCGAAGATTGCGCGGATGTAGGGGGTGGGATCCGTGCCAGCAACGCAGAATACCTGAGTTGAAGAGAAAAGGGTTCAACTTTACTGAGAGACTCCTAGAATCTGACGTAAAATGCTCAGAGTATGCCTCTTCCCACCTTGGTCTATACATCGTGCCATGAATAAAACTGAGATAATAAGGAGGTTGTTGTTAGCTGATAGGATGCCACAATAATTTGAGTAAGCAGAAATCAATAGTGATTACAGTTTCAAATTCCAACCGCAATAATTGGCTGTGGCTACTAAAGTACTCATGGAAATGAAAAAAACCCTGTTTTGCTGGATTTAATAATCGACACAAAGCATTACGTAGATGTAAATACGAAATAACAAAACAACTGGAAAAGTACTAGTCTGGATTTGCTAGTTTTATCTCAGTGCTCAATACAAAATGTACTTTACAGGAGGTAATTTGTAGGCACTTTCAACATTCAAAAATAAAACTAAGTCCAAATTGACATGGCAGAAACAGGCTATAGGCATTATGCAAATTAGCCTGGAAAAAAGTTATTAAAACAACAATAAAAATAACAGCTATGTTTATGTACATAATAATAATGACATGTAAGTTGTTGTTTGAGAAGGGAAATTTGTTACTTTTACGTTCTGATATTTTGACGATGATTCACTATCCCACAATGCCACTCACAAATCACTAACCACTGACAAATCATATGCACGTGGGTTTCAAGCACCTGTTTTCACCTGTCGTCAAGGTGTCATAGGTCATGGACATTCACCTTGATCTACTAACACCTGGTTATGCTCAGTTTCACGATAGACTGTTTTGTTCATATTTTTACACACTTTTACGTGTAAAAAGACATAAAAACCTTTGATACGCTGTATTTGTGTCAAGGCCCAATTAGTACTAATTGAGTTGTTTGAATATTTATGTATTTTGTATATTAACTGCATTTATTTAAAATCTGAGATCGAAAAAACAGGTTTTTTCCATTTCCGTGAGTACTTTAGAGGCTGACTTCCTTGTTGAGATTCCGGGTTAGAATAGGTCCCCAGTAACCTGTCAGTATGAGGAAAGCGCGTAGTAAGAGCAAAGCATCCGGATCGGGAGGTCAGACTCAGTGTGTCTTTCCTTCTTTCTTTGCTGCACCGCACTCAGCAATATTCCAGCTATACGGCGGCGGTCTGTAAATAATACGATGACATCAACCAAGTCAGCGAGTCTGACCACCCGATCCCGTTAGTCGTTTCTTACGACAAGCATTGGTTGCTGAAAACACAATTCTGACCCGGATCTTTAAGGGACGTCAGGCTCAGTGACCTGGTTGAGTGTGTGTCATCGTGCCCCGATGCTCCAAATATCACTCACTGGTGTGTCTGATACAGCTCAATACATGCTAAATTATTACGGGCGTTATATGGCTGGATGCTGCTGAGGGCGTGACTCAACAAATGAAACACAAATTACTGGGACCATGTTCTTACCACGTCAGCATATTGTTTGACATTCATCATCCTCGTGTGAGTGCTGTCAATAGGAACCCTCTTCTTCAGCGTACATATACTTCGACTGTCGTGGACCCCGACAACAACCTGTTGACAGACGAGTATATTGTGTCTTCTTCATTGACAAGAACGAGGTGTTAGTTTGATTGTCAAAACCAACTGTTTCCCGCTTTAGTGAAACCCACAATCACAGGTACGGTGCTGAGGAACTAAGAATCATTATCAGAATGAATTTCGAATTCGTATCCACGATCACTATCTTAGGAACTATACACAGTAACCGAAATATGGCCAGTCATGCTCCAGATACCCCAATGAATTGATCTGGTAGCTAGGTGAATTAGCAGGGAAAATACATGACACAGACTTCAAGCTTCTCTACAAATGCAAACCATTCAAACGTTATCTTGAACCATCTGCTATGTGCGATCATGCAGTTACTGGTAACTCTTATATTGGAAACCCGAAACAGATGTTCGGTCACATCCTGAAATATTTCCTTGCTGCATATGAAGCTTACATAACTGCACCGTTGCTCCAAACTTGTATCCTTTCCTTACAACATGTTCAAGCATTTATTAAACACATACGTTGTTGTTGGTTTTCAGACACGCAAGTCATTGGTGCCATATATATTACATGCATTCAAATTACATGTACGAGTAACAATGCTACAAATGCAATAGGTAATGAATAGACTTTTTGCAAAGTGTTTGCTACAAGGCAAAACATATAAATACTAATTATTTCACTGCATCTTTCGATATTCACCGGGGTATTATCATTGTAACAGTCATCGACAAACACTAAAGCATTAATTGTTCACAAACACCTTTGAAAGCTAAAGAATAAAATACATGAGTGACTTTTCTTAAATATATCTATCACAGCATAGTCCTGATATTTGGCATTCAGTAATTATTTCTTTTATAAATACCAAATATTAAAAAGTGACATTTTCATTACAGCGTCAGCCAACAAATAAAACTTACTTTTTTATGCGAATTGTGACTGGCGGGTGCTACCAATGCTTATCACAAAATACCTGGTGTCATCACTGATTTTCCGTGATCTATTTATATAACTGTCACTACGATTGTGCCTTTCAGCGGATTATTTCTTGTGATTATCAGTGGCAGCAAATGCTTGAAGCGCGAGTAAAATGCCGTGTGCTGTCGTTGGCCAGATGTTATCAGCAGCGAGGCCTTTTATGACTTGACTTGCGACTTATGTGCTTGAAATAGATTCCATTGGGACAAAAACAGTTATAAAAATATATATTAATCGAAAAGCGTCAGCGTGTACTGATCTAACGTAGTACCCGCCATAAAGAAACCCTTGCCATGATTTTGTTATTTTCCCATTAAAGTGTTCACTAATCACAATCCGCTGTCTTTTCTGCTTAAGATGAGGGGCGGAATGGTAGCATTGTGGTTAAATCGTTCGCTCGTCCGGGTTCGATTCCTCACATAGATACAGTGTTTGAAGGACATCTCTGTTGTTCTCCTCCGTGATATTGCTGGAATATTTGCTAAAAGCGGCGTAAAACCAGACTCACTCAGATTGATAAGGTTGAGTTTAATCTTGAGGTCAGGGACAAAGGTAATTCATTGTAAATGTTTTTTCTCGTGGCAGTTGATTGGATCAATAAACAAATGCAGTTGTGCTAATTAAATGCGGGTAGCAAGTATTTTTTGTTCTTTGAAGAGCGTGTGATAGGTAAAACTTCTCTTTGAAATTGTTAAGTTTAACGAAAATGTTTACTGCGTTCAAACTTGAAAGGGAAGAGTTGCAGTATTTGTCAGTGGCAGGAAATGATTGAAGCGCTGGTAAAATGTCGAGTGCTGTCATGGCCAGATTTTTTGCTAATTAAATGCGGGTAGCAAGTATTTTTTGTTCTTTGAAGAGAGTGTGATAGGTAAAACTTCTCTTTGAAATTGTTAAGTTTAACGAAAATGTTTACTGCGTTCAAACTTGAAGGGGAAGAGTTGCAGTATTTGTCAGTGGCAGGAAATGATTGAAGCGCTGGTAAAATGTCGAGTGCTGTCATGGCCAGATTTTAACAGCAGACATCGGCAGCGAGTTTGATTCGAGTACATGGCACGCTTGGCCGTTCGGGGAGTTTCGGGGTGAGACAGCTTCTAGAAGGATGTCTATAACCATCTAAGAGAGACACGAGGGCGATTCGAAGCCTATTTCAACCTGACTTCCGTCTCATTGTTCTTGCCAAGTGCGGGTGGGCTACCTATCTAGACTTCCTGCCGGCTTCCAACAGTATTCTGGATTCAGGAACAGAGCGATGCCTGTTTCAACACATTCGACATTGAAATATGCTCGATATATGTGAGTACACTGACATATATTGTAGGACCTGTTGCTGCCACTTATTTAACCCATTGTATTGCCTTTTGTAATTAGAAATCTAAAACTGTGTGTATCAATATCATTTGGTAATTATTCACATATCTTATGTGTGTGAGTGAGTGAGTGAATATGGTTTTACGCCGCTTTTAGCAATATTCCAGCAATATCACGGCGGGGGACACCAGAAATGGGCTTCACACATTGTACCCGTGTCGGGAATCGAACCCGGGTCTTCGGCGTGACGAGCCAACGCTTTAACCACTAGGCTACCCGACCGCCCCCCATTTCTTATGTATTATTACTGATTTGACAATTTGGTTCTGTATGAACCGATTTCTTGGTTAACCTTAGCGGTTCACTGGCGCTGTTATAATATCGTAATCAACTGACGTGCAATAGTGGACATCCCTACCAAACAACGTCCCTCACCTGTTTCCCAAGTTTCCTCATCCTTTGCATCAGTTTCACATGGCCGTGATGGAAGAGGTCGAAGCAGCCGACAGTGTACACCCTCTCTACCCTTGCGTCCAGGTGAGTTAGGGGCAGGGAGTCCTGCAAGATCGTCCTCTTCTCGTACAGCTCACTGCAAGGAAAATAATGCAGTTCTTAGATCTGTTCCTCCTTGCTTCAGGTACGTAAAACACTTTTACCGAGGCATTATTTTTCATAAAAGGTTCATATAGAGCCATGTAAGAAGAAATGTCCTGGTATAAACATTTGTAATAAATACAGAATAGGTACAAGTGACAATGAATATTGTTTTACAAAAAGTCAGCTTTGTTGCAGCTGTATCATGACAGCCCGTTCTGCCCAGATTGAGGGAGTGAGTTTGAGTTTAAGGTCACTTTGAACAGTCTTTCAGTTATGATATGACGTATACACGAAGCGATGCAGGTCGCTGACGTTTTATCACTTTAGTGACAACAACAAGCACGGATTTGGCAATGCTGAACATTAGCAGGGCAAGTGTGGGATTCGGCTTTGACCTTTGACTGAATGCATGGGAGTCGACCAACGACGCTCGGACATACCATCAGCCAAATCACTGAGTCTGAACACCAAATATTCTTAAGTCGCCTCTTTCGACAAGCATGGAATAGTCGGACCTGTCTTCCTAGGAATCTGTGGGGGCACGGGTGGCCCAGTCGTCTAAGGCGCCGCGATGCGCTGTGAAGAGTTGCGTCCCTTGGGCATGCCAGAAACCTATGATTGTGGGTTCGAATCCCGGTTCGCCCCGATTATGTTTCTAGGTTTGTCAGCACCATACCCGTGCTCGTGGGTTTCACCGAAGTGGTAAATGTCTGAGACCTGCATCACTTCGGGCTTTCCTCCCACATTAAGCTGACACGCCTTGATATAACTGGAATACTGTTAAAAGCGGCGTTAAACCCAACTCACTCACTCACACTCACTCACTCCTAGGAATCTGTACGGGGAAGAGTGCACAGTTACGTTGGTCTACATGATAAATCAAGGTTATTGTTTCGATCAAGGTTATTGTTTCGATAGGAAGAAGAACTGTTATTAAAATTCTGTCAAAGTTTGGTGGTTTATTGTTCGTTCATCACCTGCAAAGCATTTGAAACATTTGAGATAGGATAAACACAGTTGGTTGACAGCCTCTATTTGACAACAAAAACCAAACAACATGGATTCATCGCAACATAAACATGACAATGTTAACAAAAGCTATATAAATTTGTCCGTCAATACCATTTTCTTTGACTTCCTTTGATATGATTCACGCGACTCAAGTCTGAAATTGAAAATGCAGTTAAAAATACATACATAATATAAACGATGCTTACGAATAAATGTTTATAATGTTTGACAGATCTGGTGCGTGATTGACAGTGCTCAGTACAAACAAGGGGAACAGAAGGCCTACGGGATACATGGCAAAACACTGGACAAGAAAGGCATGGGCAAGTTTGGAAATATATGCGTACATGAATATAGTTTAGTTTCATTTCATCTCTCAAGCCACTGATGACGCTAACGACTCATTGTGCATCTCCATGGATGAGGTTACAGCAGAGGGATATCATTTTGTGCATATTGGCCTACATTTGGACAACAAATTCCGTTACTTCAAAAGAACATAAAAATATACCATGCTTATTCGTTTTGAAACATTGTAAACAGAAATACGCTTTTACTATGTGCACCCAACTATGTTCGGACAATATAGTAACCTAACAAATTAAAACAATATGTCAAACATGTAAGAAAAATCCACGAATGTGCTGTTTAAAGGCACCATGATGTTACAGGTATGGTAAATTTGAGAAACCTTCACGGCAACTGTGCTCCCCAGACAATGGATTTCAAATAAAGTGTCCACAACTGTTTCAGAAGAAAGCAAATTGATCGTAATCTGGATAATACGAACCATACAGCTTTGAAATAAAAGGGACAAAACCATTTCCATGTTAACGTTGTTACTAATCATAAGACATTTCTGGTAAAAGCATAGTCCTTTCTACAATTTTGACTGAATCATAATCACGTGTTTATGAATCAGTATGAATTAGTGATGATGCCAGGTGAGACACTTATCACTATCACAGCTGGGTATACAACAAATCAAATGTAAAGATAGTCCTGGCTCCCTGAGATCGTGTTTACGTGTTCAGAGAGTAAAAAGTGTTAACCTCCATTTATACCTATATAGCTCTGTACATCAGTAGGGGGCACGGGGGGCCCAGTCGTTTAAGACGCCGCAATTCTCTGTGCAGAGTTGCGTCCCTTGGACACGCCAGAAACCTATGATTGTGGGTTCGAATCCCGGTTCGCCTCGATTATGTTTCTAGATTTGTCAGCACAATACCCGTGCTCGTGGGTTTCATCGAAGTGGAAAACGTCTAAGACCTCCACCACTTCGGGCTTTCCTCCCACATTAAGCTGAGACGCCGTGATATAACTGGAATACTGTTAAAAGCGGCGTTAAACCCAACTCACTCACTCACTGTACATAAGTAAGGGGAATACCCAGACATTTATAAAGAAACAACCATACTCCCAGGCGCTGTACTAATTTGGAACTTTAAATTTGAAAACTTCGTTGAAGTTTTAATCTTTTAAGAAAACATGATGAGACAAGGTGTCCGTTAGAATCAACGCTAAAAACATAAAAACGTTTTTTTTGTTGGAAATGGTTTGTACCAAATATCTTCTGAATCATCTGAGATGATCCAAAATATTTTTCTTAATTTTTGACGAGAATGTCCGTGATGTTTTAAGAGCATGTCCATTTGTGACATATCTAGCAGTTTTATACACTCAAGCGGCAGTGGGGAACACACAAGGTAGAAGCTTAGGTTCATGGACACTTTCTGGCATGATGTCTTACAAATAGGATCGTACGTGATACTTATTTGCAAATATGTGTTATTTCAAATAGTTTATTCACTGATGAGGAACTTCGCAACTTACTTATTTACAATATTGCTGTTATCCAACTTTTCATCCTCGTCATCCATTGGTTGAACTTGAGTTCCAGTTGACCTTCGACCCTGAATAACATTTCGAAAGAATCAGTTTGTGATGACTCAATTGAAAAATCATGTCGTATTGCTCCTTATATGTCAGAGAATGAGTTGTGTTTTACGCCGTTCTGAACAGTTATATCACGTGTGCCATCTTAATTTCAGAGGAATGTGACGTCACAGGTCGTGGACGTTACCGCTTTGGTAAAACCCACGAGAACGGGTAAAGTGTAATCTGAGAATCACAGACACGAGTCGCAACAGTGAACATCATAGGTCGGCGGTATATGCACGTATTACAAGCTTGAATTATGATTACATTTTCTGGCACTGGTTTACATATTTTCAATCCCATATCGTATTTTACGAAAACATAAAAGCGACAAAACCATTTCAATATTTATCAGAAATCTCTGCTAAAAGCAGAGTCGATTGTACAATTGCGACTATATCATGAACACGTGTTTATGAATCTCTATCAAATAATGATGACACCAGGTGTTTGGTAGAAGGCGAGCGTCTCCTGTCCTACCGGTGGCAACCAGACGCACTTAAGAAGGTATGCCAATTGTTCCCCTGTAGAACATGGGAACACATAGTAAAAGTCAAAATAGAGAAATCCATTGGTCATTATTTTGGTCACTGATGCGTCAAATTTGAAAATGTCATCCACCTGTTTACCATGAAACCTTTTGAAAGCTTTACTGAGGCCTTGAATGTTGTAACCTTGATCAAACAACTTTGGAGCAAGAGTCTGACGCTCTTGAAATCTTGGAAGAAAGAGCATGCTCGAGTGTACCTCAAAAGTAGACACCGGCTTGATCTGCAGAAACATTGCTCGAAATAACGGGAAAAGTGACTATGAGAAGGATGAAGTTATCCCACAGAAACTGAATTAACTTTTATTCAGTCACATAAAATGCCAGCACATTTTCGTGATGAATATTCTGTCGAATATCACGATATCTGCCAAGTATAATGAACGACCACCTGTCAGACACCATGAAGGCCTGTCCAGCAAACATAATGAACGACCACCTGTCAGGCACCTTTATAGTCTGTCCCGCAAACATATTGAACGACCACCTGTCAGACACCATGAAGACCTGTTCAGCGAACATAATGAACGACCACCTGTCAGACACCATGAAGACCTGTCCAGCAAACATATTGAACGACCAACTGTCAGACACCATGAAGACCTGTTCAGCAAAAATAATGAACGACCACCTGTCAGACACCTTCATAGTCTGTCCAGCAAACATAATGAACGACCACCTGTCAGACAACTTTATGGTCTGTCCAGCAAACATAATGAACGACCACCTGTCAGACATCACGAAGACCTATCCAGCAAACATAATGAACGACCACCTTTCAGACACCATGAAGACCTGTCCAGCAAACATAATGAACGACCACCTGTCAGACACTGTTAAGGCCTGTCCAGCAAACATAATGAACGACCACCTGTCAGGCACCTTTATAGTCTGTCCTGCAAACATATTGAACGGCCACCTGTCAGACACCATGAAGACCTGTCCAGCAAACATATTGAACGACCACCTGTCAGACACCATGAAGACCTGTTCAGCAAAAATAATGAACGACCACCTGTCAGACACCTTCATAGTCTGTCCAGCAAACATAATGAACGACCACCTGTCAGACAACTTTATGGTCTGTCCAGCAAACATAATGAACGACCACCTGTCAGACACCACGAAGACCTATCCAGCAAACATAATGAACGACCACCTTTCAGACACCATGAAGACCTGTCCTGCAAACATAATGAACGACCACCTTTCAGACACCATGAAGACCTGTCCAGCAAACATAATGAACGACCACCTGTCAGACACCACGAAGACCTGTCCAGCAAACATATTGAACGACCACCTCTCAGACACCATTATGGTTTGTCCAGCAAACATATTGAACGACCACCTGTCAGACACCTTCATAGTCTGTCCAGCAAGCATAATGAACGACCACCTGTCAGACACCATTATGGTTTGTCCAGCAAACATAATGAACGACCACCTGTCAGACACCACGAAGACCTAACCAGCAAACATAATGAACGACCACCTTTAAGACACCATGAAGACCTGTCTAGCAAACACAATGAACGACCACCTGTCAGACACTGTTAAGGCCTGTCCAGCAAACATAATGAAGGCCCATCCGTGAATGCCATGAAGGAGTTTACATCACGAAGGACCATATTTTAACATCATAAGGGCCAATATTGAAATATCAGGAGGACCATAGTTTAACATCATGAAGGACCATTTTTGAACATCACGAGGGACCATATTTTAATGTCATGAAAGACCATATTTTAACATCATGAAGGACCACATTTTAACATCATGAAGGATCATATTTTAACATCAAGAACCAGCTGTAAAATATCATTGATCAAATATCATCAACGGCTGTCAAAATCTCAATTTGTCAGACATTATGAAGGGCAATGTGTCAGACATTATGAAGGGCAATGTGTCAGACATTATGAAGTGCAATGTTTCAGACATTATGAAGGGCAATGTGTCAGACATTATGAAGGGCAATGTGTCAGACATTATGAAGGGCAATGTGTCAGACATTATGAAGGGCAATGTGTCAGACTTTATGAAGGGCCATGTGTCAGAAGGGCAATGTGTCAGACATTATGAAGTGCAAGTTGTCAAACAATATGAAGGGCAATGTGTCAGACATTATGAAGTGCAATGTGTCAGACATTATGAAGTGCAATGTGTCAGACATTATGACTGTGTCAAAATCATGACCGACTATCCAACGAACACCATAAAGGAACATCTGTGAAAGAATAAATACCATCATTCAAATATCCCGGATATTCTTTTACGCCGCTTTTAGCACTCTTCTACCAATATCACGGCGGGGGACATCACAAATGGACCTCACAAGGTTTACCCATGTCGGGGGTACGCTTTAACTATTTAGAGTGCACGCGGGTCATAAGGTTTTGTTCTGCTCTGGGCCCTGTTCCACAAAGCGATCGTAAGTCTACGTTAAAGTATCTTAGTTACAATCACCATAGCGCTACGATCGCTTTGTAGAATAGAATTTCGGTCACACACTCGAACTACGTACTCCTTTGGACCAGAGAAATAGTTCGACAAATCGGGGTACTCGACCTTATTAAGGTCTGGCCTAACCATCAGAAAGAAAACGTTCTACATCTTTCACATTTTGAAACTAATAATGAATATTTTGAAAACATGATGAGAAGAAATAAAAACAGAAAATTCTTTATTCTGCATCAATATGAGAGAGCCTGGGATGTGTATACTTCTCGGGGTACTGATAAGGTAAATGCATGTACATTGAAATCGATCCTTTCACCTTGGTATTAATGAGTATGTCACACGGGCGTAAATCTGTCCAGTCGCAAATCAATATCATTATCGATAATAATCGATAATGTTCAGATGCACCTGCATAAAGCGTATGTCAATGTCACCTGGCAACACCTGGCAAACGAGTTCGGAATCTGCCATACGCATCTGTGACACAAGCTTTGCGCTTATACATGTGTCAGGCTGCAATACATGAAAGGGCTATCGATATTATAACAGTTAACAAAACAGCATATACTATCGTCTATTGTGAGAAGATTTTTACATGTGGCATGAGCTGATATTATTTTACCATTTGTGTCTGATATTCATATTCAGCCATATAGATGTTTACTAAACCGTATCCATAACATTGTCATAACATTATTCCATTATTTTCTTTAATAAAATATAGAAACGCATTTTTTAAATATAATTTATTGCAGTGTACAGTTTCCATATGAGAGGGGGCGGTCGGGTAGCCTAGTGGTTAAAGCGTTCGCTCGTCACGCCGAAGACCCGGGTTCGATTCCCGACATGGGTACAATGTGTGAAGCCCATTTCTGGTATCCCCCGCCGTGATATTGCTGGAATATTGCTAAAAGCGGCGTAAAACCATACTCACTCACTCACTCACTCATTCCATATGAGCGACGTATGTGCATATACCTGTTGACATGATGCTGTGTAAAAGGGCGTTAAATCACTGTTCCAGTTTGAAATGTAGCTTAAAGAAAAGGGATCATTTATGGCGAAGTATTATTTCTGGCAACTAAAAACATCACGAGAACAAACTATTATCTGACGGATGTAATACTTTAACAGTAGCCAAAAATAAATTAGACAACCTTCGTTTAAGACTTCAGTGCCAAATAAAATTTAAATATTTAAATATACAACCATGAATTTATTTCAACCTACTGCCAGTCGAATATCATAAATACTTAAAAAGTGCTGCCATTCCTCAGTCCTGTAAAATGCGAACGAAAATTAGACATTGTCATAATATGGAGGTAGATTTGGGAAATTATGTCAACTTCACACCCTGTTGACGTTACAGTGACGTCATATTACTTTAACCTCCTCTGTGGCGGAGTAGTGGATGGCGCGTCTATCCGGAGAAATAAAGTGATTTGATTAACTGGTCTGGGCATACCAAAAGACCTTAAAAGATGGTACATGTTGTTACCGTGCCTGGCGCTCGGACTAAAGGGACTAAAGCAAGGACTGGTCGGCACGGAGTCAGTATGAGGTGTCTGAGTGAGCTAGCACTATGAAACCGGCACACGTCCGGACTGGTACAAGCAGTCATATACACGTGCATGCACGTCGCTATTTGAGTGAAATAATCAATCTGCGTTTCACCGTCGGTTATCCAGGTTGTCTGCATCCTCTTATGCTACATATCCTGGCACCATTCGTTACCAAACTCCATCGCTCCTATATCTAACAAAGTTTCCGGTTAATTCGACTGGATTTTTTTCAGCTTCCTTTCGCACGAATCAGACTCAAAACGAACTTATAGTTACGATTTCTTTTCTTTGTTTGCTTGTTTGTTTGTTGTTTAACGCCATACACAGCAATATTCCAATTATATGACAGCGGTCTGTAAGTAGTCTAGGCTGGACCAGACAATCTAGTGATTGACATCATCAGCATCGATCTACGCAATTTGGATACGATGCATATGACGTTCGTCAACCAAACTTAATCAGATTCCATTCATAAGAATGCGCATATTTGGATTCTCAAACAACCATGCTGAATTAATTTTTCCTTGAGTTATTGTAAACTGTATTAAATAGACAAACTAGATCACTTTATATTCAGAAGACTGCATTCACTGAGGGCCATATTTTAACATCAAGAAGGACCATATTTTAACATCATGAAGGACCATATTTTAATATCATGAATGATCATATTTTACATCAGGAAGAACCATATTTCAACATCAGGAAGTACCATGTTTTAACGTTCTGGTCGTGTGATACAGATTCGAACCTGCTTTCATTTCTAAATAGCCACACTCCCAGGCGATGCGCTCGGTAATATTCAACCGCTATAAGGCAGCCTGTACATAATCGAGTCTGGACCAGACAATCACGTGATTGTTATCATGAAAATGACGATGACACGCAATCAACCAAGTCACCGAGCATGACCCTTGATTCATTCAGCCTCCGTCTCCACGGGGATGCATCGTGTGAAGTGAGTAGGTCAAACGCCCTTCTGTCCGTGAACGAGTTCAATGTCACATCGTCAAGTGAATCGGTGCAAGATGTTATCGTTTTAGAGAATGTGGGCTACAAATACATATCTGTCTGGGTGATATGATACATGTTATCTTCTATCATAGTTAGGTGATATAAATGTTATCTCCTAGTTTGATGTGGCATGGTTATATCGGGACGATAACAAAGGGACACACATTTGATACATTACGAATGAAGACAGAAGATGTGGTGCACATGAAATATGCTGAGTAGAGCGCGTATTCTTCAATTTTCGCAATATTTTGTAGGCAGGAAAAGTCGCATTAATCCAACTCTCATGCTGTGTCGTAAATGTGGATTGAGCGGTTAAAATGTCTGCTGAGTTTTGTTATTATTTAGCGTGAAACGTTGGCGTACAACGTTGGTAAGTAATGAATGGGTGACTGGATAATCTTTTACGCTGACTCAATATTCACCTTTATCACGGCGGCACTTAAATTGTCAAATATGGGCGAGGGAAACCGATGGTTGATAGCATGAGCAGTGATCAACAACATTGGGGAACGATTACACGCCATCAATCCGGTCGCACCTTAACAGGAATACCTTAATAGCATGCAACAGGAATGCTGCCCTCCCTTGGTACAATCGTTAGGTGACTCTTGTGTAAAATAGGTGTAGGAAAAGTAAGTGAGTTTGGCTACAGGTATTTAGTCAACCAGGACTTTGCTTGCTTTGGAAACGTGAATGCATCATTTCTGAAGAAATTTCAACACAGAGACCCCTAATTTTAAAATCTTCATGTTTCAACAAAGTGGAGTCCATTTTTATAGTATACATTAAAATATTTTATTCATGATATCGACATGTAATTTATATTCTCTTTTTAATTGCCATGAGGGGAGCATGTTAGAATAATACAAATCAGATTCCTTCAAATCATTGTTTTAAAAATAGTTTCAGAATTTGTTTCTTCTTCTCGACGAAATATGCACCCAAGACTCACGCATTTACTGTCCAAGGAAAGATTACCCATATCCCGTCGTTGTCACTAGTTAAAGCTTCAAAACTCTTCGCCGAGATTATGATTTGGTCACCGTCTTGGGGGGGGGGGGGGCAGTATTTGCACTAAGTAGCAATTCGGAAACTGTTATCCTATGATTTGTAGAGTTTCGCGGCTTTTGAAAATAAATTCCTTGTGTGTAGTGACCCGAACGCTCTTAAACTTGAAAATCCGTGACTATTTCAAACTGCTGCTGCTCCGTGACCTGCCAATCTTTACTTACAGGGGCGGTCGGGTAGCCTAGTGGTTAAAGCGTTCGTTCGTCACGCCGAAGACCCGGGTTCGATTCCCGACATGGGTACAATGTGTGAAGCCCATTTCTGGTGTCCCCCGCCGTAATATTGCTGGAATATTGCTAAAAGCGGCGTAAAACCATACACACTCACTCACTTACTCTATACTTTCACTCTTAACGAGAATGATCCGACGTATGCTGAACAGCAGGAAACACTATGCTGATTAGATTGTGAAAATATCCGACTGCCATTTGTCTTGTCTTGTAAGAGAGATAGCCATTATCATGTAAGACAATCGTCACACATCCACCCTCACATGCGTGTATATCCCAAGGTCAGAGTGACAGAGTGACACACGGAGTCGTGTGACCACGCGACCTTCACATCACCTGCCTGCCATGAGGTACTTTCAGCTATCAGTGCCATTGAGATAAAAGGTTCACTCGGTTCATACTATTCTCATCTTTGACATGGGATCTTATTGAAAATTATAAGTTGTCCATGAACATTCTTGAAAAAAAAGAATTATGTTTCAGACCTTGGAAATAAAAGAAATTTGCCGGCCACAAGAACGACATTGTTTCAAGGTGGTTTTCTTAAAAACAAATCAGGCTCATAGTTTAAAAAGAAAATATCTAATCTCAATACAATAGCGGATTCTACCATTCGTGATGTTAAATAATCCAAGCTATGAAGTTGGATTTAAGTCATAGTGTCTTTTCTCACTTTTAAAATATCCACAATTGTAGTGTGTTTTTTAAAAGAATTTGCAGTTTCAAGTGTATGTTCATTACCTCTATTAGAAATATTACGCATGTTTTTTCGAATATATCCGAGGCATGAACACACATGAACGATTGATCAAATCGAATGCATGACAAACACCTCAGGTATGATCGAATTCTCACACGTTATGGTTGTATACACCTCAGGCATGATCTTATTCTCACACGTTATGGTTGTATACACCTCAGGTAGATCGAATTCTCATACCTTATGGTTGTATACACCTCAGGCATGATCTAATTCTCATACGTTAGGGTTGTACGTAGTTTAATCCAGCAAAAGCATTTACTTGGAGCCAATGGTTGCCAATGTAGGCCATTCTGGACAAAACATTCCGCCTTATGTCATAGCACGAATCGCGTACTGATATCTTATTATACTCGGGAAAATCACATATAATATATTCCCTATAGATGGAGAAAACAAAACAAGATTCAGAGCACTACTAGGACAGTGTATTTGATGGAAGACATAATAAGCAAATATATTTAGCAGGTTCCTGACATTACAAAATATATGGAATGGCAAAGCGATGATTTTGCAATGCGATGATAAGACAATGATAGTGCAAGGATTAAGGGAGGTCTAGAGCTTTACGTTTTCCTTATCTTGTCCCTTCTCTTTCTCAAGCTCGTCTTCTTCTTCCTTCATCGGCGCATCTGATCGTGGTGAGTCTGGCTGTCGCGCCTTCAACTTGGACGCTAGACTGGCATGTGCTAGTCGGATGGAAAGGGTCAGACACACTAAGCCCGTGATCCCAGCTGGAAGTATAAGTTTGTATATAGTAAACTACGGTTATAACGAACTCAAAGTGACCACTTATTTTAGTTCTTTATAACCGTAGTTCGTTATAAGTATATATACAGCATATGTAGAAAAAACAAATGGCCGGGACTAAAAAATAAGTTCGTTATATCGGTCAGTTCGTTATAAGTGTGTTCGTTATAACCGTAGTTTACTGTACGAGGATATATATATATATTTTTTTTTAATTTGTAGTTTACACGATACAGTATACGGCGTTTCCATTGGACGAGAGGTCGATCACCCGACCGCGAAATTGACGTTCATAAGTGTATGAACGACACAATTTGACGTCATACGTTTTATCAAGAGACCGTGTTCTTGAAATGACGTAAACACTGACGGAATACTTCCACATTCCTCGGGAAAGCCCTGAGAATTCTCTTCGCAAGCAAATATGTTTCTAAAACAACTCGAGGCCCAATCTGTTCATAAAACCCCATTGGATGCTAGTGTGAAGGGTACTGATCGTTTTAATGACATGCCCACGGTGCATACGACTAGGTACCTATTCTGTCTGAAGATGCACACAGTGTGCTCATGTGATAGTTGCACTAGTACATACATATGGTGCAGACCCCCGAGGCAGCAGACTGGGCCAGACACAGAAAGGCGATACCCATTGACTCCAACTTCTCTTTCAGCTTCCCTTCCATAATTGCGGCTGTGGTGGAACTTGGGATTTCATCGCTCTTCTTGAACTCCCTGTTGGAGGATGTACAGGAAAAGAAGTTTTAGTTGACGAGAGATCATCATTCGGACTGAATGTTTAAGAAGTTTGCATCCTTGACGTTTGTCAATCGTTCAACGCCCCTTTCAGCAGTACTTTGATTGTGTTGTTTTGTGTTGGTAGATATCGAATCACAACGCCAGAGGATAACCAGTCTCGATTATCCTTTGAAGCAGATTCTATTCGGCGTAAAATGCAAATAGGATGAAATTTATATGATATTGGACCACTGAAAACCAGTGATGACGCTAGGTGGTCGTGAAAAAGGTAGGCATAACTCACTCTCTCTCTCTCTCTCTCTCTCTCTCTCTCTATCTCTCTCTCTCTCTCTCTCTCTCTCTCTCTCTCTCTCTCTCTCTCCTCTCTCTCTCTCTCTCTCTCTCAGGACTCTGTATGTGTGTAGGGTGGTGGTGGGTGGGTGTGGATGTGGGGTGGGGGTGGGATGAAAGGCGGAGGGGGAGCGGGGTATAATTCTCATATTACACCCAACGTTTAGCATTAGGTGCAAGCGCTTTAGCCGGAAAGAACCTATTAATGACGGCGTGGGACGGTCATCATGCTACCAATCCCTGACGCGAATGTTTACAAGCCGCTGTGGCATACCTGGATTATTGCCGTATGCGGCGTAAAACAACAACAGGAGGTTACCTGAGATAGTATGCCCGGAAGTAGTCTTGCACGCGCACCACGCCCAGGGTGAACTCATACGCCATGATGATCACACACGGCGCGAGATACAGCATCACCTGCACCCACGTCATTCCAGTGAAGTCTGTTACCATAGTGATAGACCACAGTGCCAGGACATTTACAATCTGCGGGTGGAACATGTAAATTAGTACCTTAATCTTTAAGTATATTAAAAATGAGTGAGCGAGTGAGCGAAAAATGAGTTTACGTCACCGTCAACATACTTTCAGCTCAATGACGGTGGTCTGCTGGGGGATCACCTTGAGAAGGTGTGACCTCACTTTGAACTGTGTATTTTGGTAGCAGCTATAATGTGTTCTTGGGTGACAGAACGGGATATGGGTACAGCCTCTCTTTGATTTTCACGCATTGTTTCATTTGTAAGTTATAACTTTGCCACCAGACACAATATAACGGATTTCGAAATTCAATTCTGGGCTTCCTACAAACAATGCAAATGAGTTAGTAAGTGAGTTGGGTTTTACGCCGATTTTAACAGTATTCCAGTTATATCACGGCGTGTCAGCTTAATGTGGGAGGAAAGCCCGAAGTGATGCAGGTCTCAGACGTTTACCACTTCGGTGAAACCCACGAGCACGGGTATGGTGCTGACAAACCTAGAAACATAATCGGGGCGAACCGGGATTCGAACCCACAATCATAGGTTTCTGGCGTGCCCAAGGGACGCAACTCTGCACAGCGAATCGCGGCGCCTTAGACGCCTGGGCCCCCCGTGCCCCCCAATGCAAAACAATTGTAAAAGAGATTACCCTGTATGTAATATATGATATTATCTTTGACAAAAAAATAATATGCATTGTGAAAACTAAAACGTATTCTATTTGTCAGCCGTGATATACGTAAATAAAGTACTCACGTGTACTTGACACTTCAAACGGCCTCTTTTGTTACAAGAGGCTTTAACCGATAAAGTTTATCAGATCTCGAGAGGGGTATCAGTTTTTCATTTCTAACAACAACAATGCACTTGTATTTGACATGATAATGCTCATTGCATGTATTTCGTACATAGATGAAGAGATATTGACATTGTGACAAGGTAGACACAAGGCGACGTTTCGATAAAGATCCTTATACCGTTTTCAAGCAGACTGAACGAGGGACATAGTACAGAATATATATAGTCATCCGTCAACTTCCAAGTAATGCCTATCAAACAATTAATTGACATTTTGATATCGGGTGAGGTGAGGTGAAATTAGGTTTAACGTCGCGTCAAAGATTATTGCACATATATAGCGACATGCATGTACGTGTGTGTGTTTGTGTGGCTGCTTGTACTAGTCCGGACTGGTGCCGATTTATCGTGCTAGCACACTGAGATACCATGCCGCAGTTTAACATGAATACCCCACTCAGACACAGTATACTGTCTCCGAGCCGACCAGTCCTTGTTTTAGCACCTTAATGCCGGCAGGGTAACAACAAGTACCATCTTTTAACGTCTTTTGGTATGACGCGGCCGGGGATCGAACCCCGGACCTTCCGCTCTCCGGGCGGACGCTCTACCACTAGACCATGGAGGCGGTCTGTGATATCGGGAAGATCATTTGTTGTAAGTAAATGGGAGAACGGTAATTCAGTTATACCGGAGCGTGTCTTTTGTCTATATAAAAAATCATACTTTAAATATGATGATTTGTTACTTTATTTGAAAGTCCATAATTATATCCATATCATATCCATGTTTCCCCCAATTCCAAACGCATGGAGACATTTCATTGATAACGTCATACAATGCTATCATGTCAGGCAACGAAATTGAAATGTCGTGACGTCAGCACATTATTTCGGCTTTGTGACGATCTTTGACATGTTGTAAACTTAATTCCCAGTTTGATAGATACAGAACGCTGTATCTGTGACGGTTTGGCTTTAAATCTTTGAGTCTCTTCGTATCGACAAAATATTTGATATAGAATAAAGCACAAGCGATTTACGACAATAAGAGTTGCGCAGTGAACGCAAAACCATAGCGCAGACATATCCTTAATGTGGAACCGCCTCCGTGGTCTAGTGGTAGAGCGTCCGCCCGGAGAGCAGAAGGTCCGGGGTTCGATCCCCGGCCGCGTCGTACCGTTAAAAGATGGTACTTGTTGTTACCCTGTCTGGCGCTCGGCTAAAACAAGGACTGGTCGACTCTGAGTCAGTATACTGTGTCTGAGTGGGGTATACATGTTAAACTGCGGCATGCTATCTCAGTGAGCTAGCACTAAAATCGGCATCAGTCCGGACTAGTACAAGCAGCCACACACACACATGCATGCACGTCGCAATATAAGTGCAATAATCTTTGACGCGACGTTAAACACAATTTCACCTCACCTCACCTCCTTAATGTGGAGGAATGTCCGATGAGACACGTTTACCTCTCTTGTGAAACCCACGAACACGGGTATAGTGCTGTCAGATCGCGGATCATAATCGGAGGAAACTGGTGCTTTAACCACGAACAGCCTAATAATTACCAGACGCAACTCTGTACAGCGAATTGTGATACTTTAGCCCCGTAAGCCACCCGTGCCACAATCGTCAATGATGTGCTCAGATGCACTGATACCGCGGTGTTCCCGACTTGGTTATCTGAATCAGTCTCAGTTAGCTCACCTTATCACAGAAGGCGTCCATGAAGCCCCCCAGGAGAGGGTCATCCACCTGTCCCAGTGTCCGTCTCTGGACTTTGGCCACAATGCCGTCCAAATGGTCCAGAAAGTCGTGCAGCAGGACCAGCAGAAACGCCGTCCAACAGTAGTCATACCTGAACGTTAAACATACTTTAGACATGTATCACTCTCAATGATCCAGTGATTTAAACATATGTCCACACTGTGATGACCATCTGGTTTGTTGTGTTGCCTTAACTTCGTTTGAAAAGTGGCTTCACCCTCCCCACGTCTCTCATCACAAAGATCCGCAATAATGTCTTTCGCAATTTGTGTAATCTGGTAAGGAGGGTGTTTTCAGTGTTATGTCATTCGAATCGGACAAAGTTTGTTTGCCTGTTTGTTGAACGCCGCAACATCCCAGCTGTATGGCGGGGGTCTGTAAATAATCGAGTCTTGCATAGACAATCCAGTGATTGGCAGCATGAGCATTGATCCACGGAACTGGGACACGATAACATGCAGCAACCAAGTCAGTGAGCCTGACCACCCGATCTTTTATGACAAGATTGGGTTGCTGAAGACCAGTTTTAACCCTGATCGTCATGGGGAGAAACAAGCATGGGTTGCTGAAGACCAATTCTAACCCGGATTTTCCCGGGTCACATACCAACGTGACCCTTCAATAATGACGCTTAGTATAATAAAAAGTGTATTTCAAATATGGCTTTAGAGAAGATTACATGCCTGCCAATAACCCTGATACTCACTTGAGACAGGCGGCGATAGGGATGACCAGAACTGTTCTTGCCCACGACACGATGTTGGCGGAGAAGACAGTGTAATCCTGACCTTTGACCTGTACAGACCTTGGCACACGTTCCACTGCTGGTGACAGCGCCGTCTGGAGGGGAGTGTACACATATGTGTCGTACCTGTCCACCTACATGGTAGCAATACTTATTTCACTGAACGTGTTACTTTTCATTTTTATTATGAGTATGTGAATCGTTGACGCTGCAGTCTTCCAGCCAGCAAAGTCACGGTGGTCTGTGTATCATAATATAGTAGTAGTAGTAGTAGTAGTAGTTGTACTACTACTACTACTAATAATAATAATAATAAGTAGTAGTTGTTTTGTTTGTTTGTTGTTTAACGCGGCACTCAGCAATATTTCAGCCGATCCCGTAAGTCGCCTCTTACGACAAGCATGGTCGCCTTTTACGACAAGCATGGTCGCCTTTTACGGCAAGCATGGGTTGCTGAAGACCTATTCTACCCCGGATCTGCACGGGTCACTTAAATACTGTTCAAAGCAGGGTTAAACCAAGCACCCTAACTCACGTGAGCGTACATGTAGATTCTACACCCAGGAGCGTATTAAAGGACGGCTCGTATTTGATGGAATGTAATTATAGTTCCCAATGACGATCAACGCCATCAGGTGGTAATCAAACGCGATCAGCTACATTGCACATGACAGAACCTTGCCTGGGGCTCGTCCAAGCATGTACTGTGCTCGATATTTATGAATTATTTTATCAAATCAACTGAAATGCAATCGAAAATATATTGGTTTTTTTACTTTCTGTACAATTGTGTGTGAAGACCATTTGGAAATTACACGGCAGTAGATTTTCGATCATGATACATGATACATGATAAACAGCGCGTCCAGCCATTAATTGGCTAATGAGACACTAACACTAGTACACATATGGGATGCAAATAGTACCTTATAACAACTTGAATATGAAATACGTTATGTCATTGTTTGCACATCTAAATAGTGTTGAAGCTAAACGATTTTCAAGTTTCATATCATTATAACCGCAAAGGAAACGTCACCCCAAGTAATATTGCATGAAAAGATGTCATTAAAATATCTGGGTAATTTTTGTCAAAGTTTCTAAAATTTAACATTACCTTGTCCGGAAAAACGAAATTTGATGATACAAAAAACAAAGCGGGTGACAATAAACCGACCGCCCAAACGCATCACAGCAACGGCCATGTTAACCCGATGCACGTGAGTTCCGTGCAAATTTAAATGCACATGCGTTCCCCCATTTCTTGCCCTATAAAGATCGATCCAGATCGGATAACTTTCATTCGTTATTGAATTGATACCACATGCCACGATTGACAAGAAATCAGAGACACCAAGCCCTTGGACGATTTCAAGCTGGACAAACCGCCCGGCAAGTAGCCATTTCATGTCCACGTAAGGACCATATGCAGACTTCAGCAACGGTACCAGACCACCAACACTACAGATGACCGATCACGTAGTGGAAGACCAAGAGTCACCACCCGACGTCAGAATCGTCAGACTGTGCGACAGCATCTTCAAGATCGCTTTGTTACTGCTGCGGAAACTGCTCGACAGACCATGGGGACACAGCACCCACACATCAGTGCGGACACCGTGCGTCGACGATTGACGAGCAGACACCACCATTCTGCCACCACGTCATCGCCGGGGCCGTCTTCAGTGGGCAACACAGCACCAGCATTGGCGCCACCAGCAGTGGAGAAGAGTCCACTCCTCAGACGAGAGTCGTTACTGTATCTCAACAGCAGATGGCAGAGAGAGAGAGAGAGACTGGCGACGCCATGGGGAACATTATTCGGATGCTTGTGTTGTTGAGAGATACTCGTGGGGTGGTCCGAGCATCATGGTGCGGGGTGGAATTGGTCTTGCATAGAGGGTCGGCCCTGTGGTCTTCCAGAACATCGGTCCAGGGAGAGGCAATGGTGCCACAGCAGCTCGGTACATTGATCAAGTCTTGAGACCACACGCCATATCTCATTTGGCACGCTGCCGCAACCACGAGTTTCAGCATGAAAACGTCCGTGCCCACACTGCGAGAGAAACAAGAGACTTCCTCCAGCAGAATGGCATCAGAACCATGCAGTGGCCTGCCCTGAGTCCCGATTTAAATCCCATTGAGCACCTGTGGGACGAGATTCAAAGACGGCTGAATGACGTCCGACTGCGTCAGGCGTTCCTCAGAGTGTGGGCTCAAGTGCCTATGGCCTTCATCAACCGCCTCATCCATTCCATGTATCGACGTTGCACTGCAGTCATCAATGCACATGGCGAAAACAAGAGATACTGACTTGTGATACCATTTTCTCAGAGACTAGTGCTGTGTTTCACTTTAAGTACATTTGACACTTTAATTTCAACCTTCATGATCAGTTTTGCCAAGTTTCATCTTTTTAAGTATGTTTACAGTGTTTGGACAAATAAGGTTACTCATATATATCTATCCATGGTGACGTTTCTTTTGCGGTTTAGTATATAAACTTATCTTCATCATTGAAATGATCAAATTACGGATACTGTACAGATGCGGCTTTAACAAGATTAAAACACAGTGTATGTCTGTTCATATCACGGTGTTTCATTAAATGTGTCAGATGAAGGGTAACGGGTAGAGAAACAGTAGCAGCTGTACAGTCATACCTACCAAGACAAAGAGAAAACTCTCAATGAAGCGTGTGACGACGTCCAGCGGTGACAGTATTGCTCTGGATATCCCCATTATTGCTGCAACCTGAAATAAAGTATTTATTATTAAGTGGCACTTCAAGTTCCATCATTAGTGTCACTGCAACAGTAGTTAAAATAAATTGTATCCCAGCTTGCATTGCTGATTGGAGTTATAAAAGCTGTCGATGCTACCCATACTGCTGCAGCAACTACCTCTTTTTCATCAGCTACAAACGGAGCTGCCATATATTATTGCCACTGCCACAACAGATATCCACTAAAACCTATTGTTTTCTTGTAGAGTGAGTGAGTTGGGTTTAACGCCGCTTTTAACATCATTCCAGTTATATCGCGGCGTGTCAGCTAAAAGTGCGAGAAAAGCCCGAAGTGATGCAGGTCTCAGACGATTATCACTTCGGTGAAACCCACGAGCACGGTGCTGACAAACCTAGAAACATAATCGGGGCGAACCGAGTTTCGAACCCACAATCATAGGTTTCTGGTGCACCCAAGGGACGCAACTCTGTACAGCGAATTGTCGCGCCTCAGACGACTTGGCCACAGAGTAGGTCCAAGGACAAATACTCATTTCGAAGGATGGCACAGCCATCTGGACTCCAAAACGAACTCTGTTCATACAACTGTAATAAATGAACTACACCTCGCGTAAATGAAAATGTTCAAAACATTCAACACTTCCATGTTTATCAAAATACTATGAGCAAACTTACTAACAAACCTGGTCGCTCCGTGCATGTCCCATGCTGTGCGGATAGTGTTGTCCGTAGCCTATATCACGTGTAATGCATCAACAATGTGCTATGACTGCCGGTCTACAACAATACCTTCACGGACAATGAACAACAACATATGCTGTTGTGTGTACGCCACTATGAACCAAAACATGTGCCAGTCTGCCTTATCTATATTCGGTCTGCACAGATACAACACAGACAGGACTCGCTTCAGTGTATGGAAACAACTGTCCCTACACTATCAGGAAGACATTCCTTATCATGTTGACACTCATATTTCGGAAAGGATATGGTTTCATTAACTTGAAGGGATTTTGCTTTCGAATATACATTGAGATATCCGTATTTCGCACCCGCACCCGCATACGCACCCGCACTCGCACCCAAACAAAAACCAAAACCAAAACCCGGACTCGCACCCACACCCACACCCACACCCACACCCACACCCACACCCACACCAGCACCCAGACCCACACCCGCACCCGCACTCGCACCCACACCCAAACCATAACCCGCACCCGCACCCGCTGCCGCACCCGCACCCACACCCAAACCATAACCCAAACCATAACCCAAACCCAAACCCAAACCCAAACCCAAACCCGGACTCGCACCCACACCCACACCCACACCCACACCCACACCCACACCCACACCCGCACCCGCACTCGCACCCACACCCAAACCATAACCCAAACCCAAACCCAAACCCAAACCCACACGCACACCAACACCCGCACCCGCACCCGCACCCGCACCCGCACCCGCACCCGCACCCGCACTCGCACCCACACCTAAACCATAGCCCAAACACAAACCCAAACCCAAACCCGGACTCGCACCCACACCCGTACTCACACCCACACCCACACCCACACCCACACCCACACCCAAACCCGCACCCGCACCCACACCCGCACCCGCACCCGCACCCGCACCCGCACCCGCACCCAGAATACATAATGGTCCGTCCATGAGTTACATCGTCTTAAGCCGAAATCACACCCGTCCGTTTTCGCTCCCATATCCATATCCGCATCCATATTTCCGTTTACACTTGTCCGTACTTAATTCCACACGTAGCCCAGGGCGGTCAGGTAGTCTAGTGGTTAAAGCGTTCGCTCGTCACGCCAAAGACCCAGGTTCGATTCCTGACATGGGTACAATGTGTGCAGCCCATTTCTGGTTTCCCCCACCGTGATATTGCTGGAACATTGCTAAAAGCGGCGTAAAACCATACTCACTCACTCCATACGTGGCCTATTTTGCCTACATGCACTGTCAAGTCGACTTACAGTAATCGTGAAACAGTAAAACAAGAAACATCCAAATCTAACATGAAGTCCTTTTAAGAACATGTAAGTCTAAACATAGGTCTACATGTGAGTGTATATAATGTGACGCCTCAACGGTAGCAATACCATCCGCAGTATCCGCAACAATCAGCCTGGGATAGAAAAAAAACGGGTGCGGGACACGTATCCGAAATGCAAGGATACTGGTACAGATAAGTGTAGATGCCACGATGAAGTATCTATAACAGCGATTTTTACGGATATGGATGCGGGGAGGAAAATACGGATATATAAACATGGCTCATTAAACGGTATGTTGAGTTGACGGAGTTCGAGGCAACCTATGATCGATGTGACCTCAGTTAGCAAATAGATGTTGTTGTACGCCGCATTCAGCAGTGTTAAAGTTACACCACAGTGGTGGCGAGTCTAAACATGACACTAGTGGGATTACCAACCCAATCCCTTTGTGAGTGAGTTTTTAGCAATATTCCAGCAATATCACGGCGGGGGACACCAGAAATGGGCTTTGTACCCATGTCGGGAATCGAACCCGGGTCTTCGGCGTGACGAGCGAACGCTTTAACCACTAGGCTACCCGACCGCCCCCAATCCCTTTGTAATCGAATGTCACGACACATACCGGGTAATGGGGCCACGCGGTACCCGGGATTCATTCTGTGTCCTTATCGCTCCAAATTGGTGTCGCAAAGGATGTCATAATACTGATAGTTATCAATAATAAATATGTCAAAGTAGTTTAGACTTTTGCATCCACAACAACAAAGTACTTGTATCTGACACTGACAATATGACGTGCACTCAATGTATCGTAAATGGATAACACAAGTGCAAACATAAGTGCAAACATAAGTGCAAACACTACTGCAAAGGCGCCATCCAATCTCATTAAAATCAGATCTAAGTTCCCGCTGCCGCTAAACAGCGGGTCACGTCAGAACGACCTTTCGGGAACTTTAACCGACGACCGAAACGAATTTTAGCAAACAGTCAGCCAATTAGAAAGCAGCTTTCTCGAGGTTTACGGCACTCGTTTCAACCTGGGATAGAATAGGTCTTCAGCAACCCATGCTTGCCGTAAAAGGCGACTATACTTGTCGTAAGAGGCGACTAACGGGATCGGGTGGTCAGACTTGGTTGATGCATGTCATCGTATCTGAATTGCGTGGATCGATGTTCATGATGTCAATCACTGGATTGTCTGGTCCAGACTCGATTATTTACGGACCGCAGTCATATAGCTGGAATATTGCTGAGTGCGGCGTTAAACAACAAACAAACAAGTTGCTGTTTTACGGAACCTGATCTATCAATTGCATTAACTAGTTATATGCATGTGTTCTACTACTTAACAAAAATAAAATGAAGTTGCATACAGTGGCCCCATAAGATACTTGGATCTACATAATCACTTTGAGGTTATGACTAGGAATCTGTCGAGGTAAAAGTTATTGGGTTAAAAAAATGGACATCTAAACAGATCCAAAAAATATCAATCAGCTTACAAATTCTTTTCAGATCCTTCCGTTTTTCAATTGTTTACAATTTGAGATCCTGCATACATGTCGCCAGATGTCGCCAATCATATTCCAATAATGTTATTAAGTACAACTAGAGCGTTCCCGATGTCAATTTATTGTTTGTTGACAGAAATATTTAGTCAAGGTCATTTAGTTTAGCACTAGGGTAGGTTTGCGGTAAAAGTGTTCGCTCCTCACGCCGAAAACCCGGGTTCGATTCCCCACATTGGTACAATGTGTGAAGCGCATTTCTGGTGCCCTCCGCCGTCAAATTTCTGGAATGTTGCTTAAAGTGGTGTACAACCTTACTCACCGACTTTACTACGAGTTGTAAGGTTAACATCGATGAGGTGGTAGCGATTATCCTTTTACATTGGATGCCAATAAGATATTTATCAACTTTGAGTAGTTTACACACTTGTGTTATTGGAATGGTTCATGCCCAGATATTGTGGTGTGATAGGCTAATTGCAAGGAAACTGCACTACAAACGGACAATATTATAGGCGAACAGCATTGATGGAATGTTTCATGCCATGATATTGTGGTGTGATATGCTGTCTGCAAGGAAACTGCACTACACACGGACAATATTATAGGCGAACAGCATTGATGGAATGGTTCATGCCCAGGTATTGTGGTGTGATATGCTTAAAGACCGAAGTCAAATATAGTGTGGCATTACACAACAAACAAACCAACAATAGAGGTCCACGGTGTCATCTCAATATAGCCATGTCATGCAGGGCTGCAAGTTATGTACACGTGGTCGCTGTTGATATCATCGTGTAATTACCCTTTGTTGCACGACTGCATGTGTTGGGTGTCGATGTCATCGTGTGATAGCCCCATGTGAGGCAAGATCGAAAGTACAGAGCTCTGAGAGTGTTTGCTGTTGATATTATCGCGTAGCGGTCACGCGAGGCAACATTCCAAGTAATTCATACAACAATGTTGTTCGCTGTTGATATATATAATGATGATGATTATGATGATGATGTTAAATGGCGCCAGAAGATTTACAGTCACATTACCATCACATCCAAGGTAGTTTTCTTTCACTGATGTGTCAACAGAGGCATATTTCGAACAAAGTCGCCTGTCTGAGTAGACACCACATGTAACATGTGTTTCAGAGCCGAACACAGACACCCACCCAACTACTCTCCGCCACAAATGTTGTTTTGTGCAATGTGCCATGTACCGCGTGCCACCAACCATCTATGCTTCTGCTTTAATTAAACCACCCAATACTATGCACAACACCTTAAAGTGTTTCTACCATATCCCTACATTGGTTTAAAACCATTCTATTACAGCCTTAAAATCTTTTCAATAGCATATCGAGGATTCGTCAACTATTATTAAAACTTTTATACTGCTTACCTGTCAGAGGAAATGAAGCCGAGGAGAAGGGATGGGTAAAGCCTGCTGCTGCTGGGAAGACAAATTAAATGAGTGAGTCTACATTTATAGTGGATACTTGGCCTCCTATAGTCACGTGTGATGCAGGGCGTCAACATGCGCGCGCCGTACTATGGCAATACATTGTATTCGGGAATAGTTTAACTTAATGCTTGACATCGTGAAGTGTTGTGACAGTGTGGAAATCTGACTGATAATATACAGATAATAGATAGCATGGTCTTAAGTGATACATGGTACAAATTCAGTCAACGCTAAGGTCTGTACTATATATCTGTAAATACGACCTTTGGTTTTCAAAAGTTAAAGAGATTATACTTCATGTAATATGCAATTTGATATTGTGTCTGTACTTTAGACAGCGTTGTATTAGGACGAGGTAATAACACAATGTTTTATTTTTATGTTGGTTTGTACGGAAGCCTATTAGGGCCAATTGTATTTTTCTTGAAATTTCAAGATACTATGTTGAAATTTCAAGATGTAAAGCTGAAATCTAAAGATGAATACTTGAAATTTCAAGTTAAGATCTTAAAATTTCAACTTTTCTTGAAATTTCAACATAGTATATATCTTGACATTTCAACTTAGTATCTTGAGGGGCGGTCGGGTAGCCTAGTGGTTTAAGCGTTCGATCGCTCCGCCGAAATCCCGGGTTCGATTCCCAACATGGGTACAATGTGTGAAGCCCATTTCTGGGGTGATTTTGCTGGAATATTGCTAGAGGCGTAAAATAAAACTCACTCACTCACTAGTATCTTGAAATTTCAAGAAAAACACAAGAAGTGGGCCTAAAAGGCTTCCGTACTTAAAGACATACTCTAAGATAATACATTGCACACATACATTTAATTATATTTAACCACTGTATATATATATATATATATATATATATATATATATATATATATATATATATATAGATATATATATAGATATATCTCGACAGACCCATACATCAGTTTCATATAGATTTCCACTCTGATGATAGCAGAGATTCCTTATGATTATAGAAAGAGGTTTTGTACGGAAGACATTTAGTGCCACTTCTTTTTTTCATGAACTTTCAAGATAGTAAGTTGAAATTTCAAGATTCTAAGTTGAACTTTCAAGATATCCACGCTGAAATTTCAAGTTAAAATCTTGAAATTTCAACTTTGTATATATCTTTATATTCCAACTTAGTATAAATTTCAAAGATAATAAGTTAAAATTGCACGTTATAATCTTAGAATTTCAACATTGCATTTGAAAATTTCAGCATAGTAAATTTTAAGAAAAAAACAAAACAACAAAAACAAATGACCTTAAAAGGCTTCCGTAGTTTTGTTGGTATTCACACGGCAAGATGCAGAGCGTGTGATAACTGGTTGCTTGTGCGTTAATTGAATTAAAGGCATTTAGAGTATAACCCGATTCTCTGGGCGAGTGAGTAAGTGGGTGAATCTTTTTTGACACAGCACTGAGAAAAAAGTCTTGCGAAAATCTACTTACTTAATTAGTCACAGCGGCTAAAAGGTTAGTAAACAGTGAATTTACTTTGCTGCCTGATAGATTGCACGAAGATTCTGAAGATTAGTAAATATCACTTACGAAATAAGTATAATTCATGGTGACGAGGACAATTGAGACTTTTGACGTCAGCGGTCTACGCAGAACAGGTGGTAGCGTGCCGAACTACAAAATGAAGAAGGTGCAGGTTCGAATCCCATCGAGATGTAAATTCTTTGTGTTCATAAATATGTTGTTGCTGTGTGCTAAATAGTATTTCTCTCATACAGGAAGCTGACAATGAAGTATATCTGATTACTACTTAACCTCTTTAGTGTTGGGACGATAGGCCACCTGATTAAAAAATACTAACTGACTGGTATAAAGAGTACAAGTCTTCGAACATGTTAGCGTCTGAGTGGACAGTGAAATTCACCAATTAATTTGGCCAACTTTACAAACTATTTCTGAGAGTGAACAGTCAGCACTATTTCAGCTACAAGAAGGAAGCCTGCAAATAATCTAATCTCGATAACGCAAACTAGTGACGCAATCAACCGGTCACAGAGCCTGACCAACCTATCCCAATTGTCGTCGCCTCATACCGCAAGAAATGGGCGGCAGGGGCCCGTTTTACAAAGAGAGCTTAACGCTCAGACGATCGTAAGTCTATGTTAAAGTATGGGAGTTACGGTAGTCTTGTGAAACGGGCGTCTGAGGACCAGTTCTACCCCGGTGTAGCAGCCTCAAATCAATTCCGTGAAAATTCACTCTTGGGTGGTTTGAGCCAAGATTCAAATCACTCTTGACTGCTTTCAGCCGTGGCCTAGGTCACTCCCCTCTACTAGGCCAAAAGACACTCACTCAAGGCTCGGATCACTCTCCGTTGGGCTCAAATGAATCCCCTACATTTTTACAGTATTCTACATCCCTGTTCACTTCACAAGCATACGGTTTTAAAAGTTTCAGATGTTCACGTGTAGCTGCGCGTGCAGACAGAAGCCAAAGTGTGTGCGTCTGTCGGGTAACTTAAGCACCAATGCAATTTAGCTGCCTCCGAGGTAGTATTTCAATAAACAGGCGAATTGTGGGCACGACAGCGGGGGACGCCAATATCCCAAGTTGGCAGAATGTTTGACAAATCAGAAACTGTAATTTCTCGACTGTGAGACATGTACAAGTACCGTCAGACGGGTGAGACCTTGGCGTGACTGGCCTAAAAACGACACCTAGACAAGATCATTTCATTATATTATTTGCACTTCGCAAAAATATTCAAATCTGCTCCTGTTATCAATAGAGGATTCCGTAAAATAACAGGAAGGCGAATTTCAACATCTACCGTAAAAAACTGGCTCTAAGTATCCGCCTGAAACCAAGGCGTCCTGTGAACGGCGTGACCGTAACAGCTTACCACAGGCAGCAAAGATTGGGTTGGGCAAGGTAACACCAGAGACTGGCTGTGCGCCAATGACGCTACACCATGTTTACAGGCGATTCGAGGTTTTGCCTCTGATTCACATATGGCAGATAATGCTTTTGGCGACGTAGCGGCGAGCGGTATGTCAGGGCAACAATTCTTGTCCATGATCGGTAATATCATTGTGTTGGGCGGTATCACACATGACAGATGAACTGATTTTGTCATTGTGAATGGACATTTGACTGGCCAGAAATATGTTGACGAAGTTTGCGTCCTAGTTGTTGTTGTTCCATTCGCTTTGATTATCGGCAGACATTTTGACGTGCAAGATGACAACGTCAGACCACATAGTGCCCAGGCCGTCATAGATTTTCTCCGAAGAGAAGGGATACAGACATTGGACTGGCTCGCTAGGTCCCCTGACATGTCCCTAATAGAGAATCTGTGTGATGTTCTAGGTCGGAAAGTGTACGCCAGAGACCCAACACCCGCCAACGTGGCCAAGCCTGGGGTAGCTCCTCAGGAGGAATGGCGGGCAATACTGTGGAATGTTCTAGGGCGGAAAGTGTACGCCAGGGACCCAACACCCGCCAACGTGGCCCACCCTGGGGTAGCTCCTCAGGAGGAATGGCGGGCAATACTGTGGAATGTTCTAGTGCGGAAAGTGTACGCCAGGGACTCAACACCCGCCAACGTGGCCCAGCCTGGGGTAGCTCCTCGGGAGGAATGGTGGGCAATACTGTGGAATGTTCTAGGGCGGAAAGTGTACGCCAGGGACCCAACACCCGCCAACGTGGCCCAGCCTGGGGTAGCTCCTAAGGAGGAAAGGCGGGCAATACTAGGGCAATCATAAGCAAGTTAATCAACAGGATGCCCTCAATGTGTCGTGCATGTTTCGCCTAACATGGTAGATACACCATATATTGACTACATCCCCGAAATCGATGTTTTGACATGTCTCGTCATTATACCATCGCTACCATTTCAACAGTTGTTTTTTTGCCGGTAGTATATATTCATAAATGTTTTGAAATATGTTTATAATATTCTGCTCCTGTATTATTCTAACAACTGATGATTTAAAAACTAATAAAACTATTCTTTCTGTTTTCTAAACACATGTCACGCAACGGTTCTGTTTATATGTGCCCTAATTTAAGATAGGTCACATTATTCATACAGTACAGTGTATGCAGCTTGAGCATTACCGGATTTTTGTTTCTACAGGAGCGACTATTCAGTGTCTGATACGGTATTTCCTCGCGAGACTATATTATTGGTTAGATGTTGATATTACACATAAAGTAAAGTGCCGTATTCAAATACAATTGCAATGTAAACAATAATAATTTGAGTGACAATTTATTCACATTTATGCGTAAATCGGATTCTTCTGTTAGTTACGCATGTGTGACACTTTGGCCTAGGGCGTGGTGCAGTTTCCTGTGGTTAAATCGTGGGGATAAATCCCAGTTTCGCCCTGATTGTGTTTCTAGTATTGTCAGCATTATCCCCGTGCCCGTGGGTTTCACCTCAGCGGCAATCGTCCAAACCGTCATCACTTTGTGTTTTCTCCCAAATCAAACTGTCACGCCTTTACATGACTGAAATACTGTTTGTTTGTTTGTTTGTTGTTTAACACCGCACCCAACAATATTCCAGCTATATGACGGCGGTCTACGTAAATAATCGAGTCTGGACCAGACAATCCAGTGATTGATATCATGAGCATCGATCCAAGCAATTGGGATCGATGACATGCATCAACCAAGTCAGCGAGTCTGACCACCCGATCTCGTTGGTCGCCTGAAGACGAGCATAATCGCCTTTTACAGCAAGCATTGGTTGCTGAAGACCTATTCTACCCTGGGTCTTCACGGGTCACTTAAATACTGTTCAAAGCGGAGTTAAACCAAGCACCCTCACTCACTCACGTGCGCGTACATGTAGATTCTACACCCAGGAGCATATTAAAGGACGGCTCGTATTTGATGGAATGTAATTATTGTTCCCAATAACGATCGACGCCATCAGGTGATGATGACACGCGATCAGCTACATTGCACATGACAGAACCTTGCCTGGGGCTCGTCCAAGCATGTACTGTGCTCGATATTTATGAATTATTTAAAAAATCACAACTGAAATGCAATCAAAAATATATTGTTTGTTTTTTTACATTATGTATGGTTGTGCTTGGAAACCATGTGGAAATTACACGGCAGTAGGTTTTCGATCAAATTAAAAATTGTTTATATCTTAAACCTACTCATCTGCATAAACACTGCCTTCTATCCTGTATATATACTTGTATATAGACATTTGTCTTACGGTGTCAGAACCTACACCGAAACGTAGCTCCTAATTGTTATAAAGTTAATTTTGTTCATCCATATATCTTATCCTTACTTACAAATTAAAAAAGACAAAATTGACCCCACCAGTTACCATTAGTCGAATTGTACACATTGTATTGAAACATATACACCAGATATAAGGACGACTTTAGGGCGGCGGTGATCGGAGCGACGTCATTACCGACGCTGTAAAATTAAAAATGGCCGCTAATGACGTTATATTAAAAACCACCACTGTGGACATTTACCAGCCATTTCTGCAGACAAGGAATATGATTTTGTATGTAGACAGGGGGTAGGGGGGTTTTACTTGGATGTTTTACATTTTTACACATTTTATGTTTCAACCTTCATTTAACATTTCCGCTTTGACGGCATATGACGTGTTAAGAGTTTCATTATAGGTCAATTACAATAGTTCTGAAAGCTGAGTCCTATTTGCTAAAAATGTTTGTATTAAGTATGAGTGTCTATGAAAAAACGCAATGTCCATGTGCCACCAACAGGCAGCTCTCGCTTTTTAGCAACATAGATGCTACGTACACAGTTTCAAATTTGGCATTCTTTTGTTGGTTAAAGTGTCAGAAACGGATCCAAGGTTTTGAAAGAGGTTTGTGTGCACATAAATGACAAAATATCAAAAAGGTACTTCATCGAGAGAGCAGTTAACATGTAAAGTGTCTGAAAAAGTGGAAAAAAACATCGGTCCCTGTCAACCTTTGCTGGTCGTAAGATCTAGAGGCAGCCACATGGATTTGACATAAAATCTGTACATGACCCTTGTGTTAAATAATCAGGATTTTACTACCACTTCATTTGTGGCAGCTGTGTAAAATAGCCTTTTTAAGTTGAACTAAACATTAATTGAAGACAACAGGGAATTTCTGTCATCTTCTATCATAGACCTTTTTTGTAGTGAGTGGTTTAACACCTCAGGTGTAAGACAGTTTCGTGTGAAATGAAAGCCCAATACGGCGCAGCCCGTCGACATTTACTGAGATAGTGAAACGTGCGACTTCGTTTGTAGTACTCGCTGGGGAATAATCAAAAATTATTTGGTATTTAAACCTAAGGTGAGGACGAAATACGGACGATACGCGAGTTCAGATGGCTAAATTAGTATCAGACCTCTGGGACACTGTTATTTCATGGTGCAATCAACAATACACCACCTATATATCACTGGTCATCCAGGGTGAACCAACTCACAACTCACGCGTTTGAGACAAGTAGGTGGTGTCAACACACGGGGCTTTTGGGCGGGTTTGTTTCAGGTCGAGGGTGTTCGCATGTTGTGATCGTGCTGATCATGGCGATGAAATTGACTACGCGCCCGTGGACACGTGTTGCTTATAAGACCATTAAGAGGTCGGTGAAGTGACGTCGCGTCCATATTATTGCACTTATATAGCGACGTGCATGCACGAGTGTGTGTTTGTGGCTGCGTGTACTAGACCGGACTGATACTGATTTATAGTGCTAGTTCATTGAGATACCATGCCGCAGTTTAACATGAATACCCCACTCAGACACAGTATACTGACTCCGAGCCGACAGTCCTTGTTTTAGCCACTTAATGCCGAGCGCCAGTCAGGGTAACAACAAGTACCATCTTTTAACGTCTTTCGGTATGACGCGGCCGGGGATCGAACCCAGGACCTTCCACTCTCCGGGCGGACGCTCTACCACTAGACCACGGAGGCGGTTTTAAGAGGTCGGTGTGACAAGTCGATACCAGAATTCTCGTTTGATAGATTCACACATTAAGCATGTCCAAGCTAGGAAAGCATGTCCAAATCATACATTCTCTTGCTCAAGAATTGTTCTATAATGTCATAAATGACACGAAGAAAGAAAGTAGAAATCTCAAGCATCGTCAAACGCTGGCTTTGTAACTGGTCTGTGTGTATCTGCAATAATACGTTTACAGAATGCTGAAACCCCATAAACAATCACATGGGATTAATTAACGCGTATATCATTAAGTCAAATGACACTGTGTTAAGGTCTCAACCTTCACAAACAAATATGATACATGATATGACACTATTGCTCTCTTGGGTAATTTTTTTTATTTCATTTATACAACAAATTTATTCCCTTAATTGTCACGACATGTCTTAATTGTTGTTATCTATGCAAACTTGCTGTCACCGTTATCACAGTCATCAGCTACCTCACACCAGCACGTACTTTTATGTGCTATTGAACTCGCCACGAGAACACGTTAAAAGCCATCGTACTACTTGTCGCGGACCACCTGGTATACCTTTCTTCACAATGGTATGCGCCAGTGGGCGGACCTCATACACAGCCATACGGGGTTAGCTGTCAGGTCACAACTCAATTCATCCTTGCTTACCAGTTGGTTGGTTGGTTGTTTTACGCCGCACTCAGCAATATTCAAGCTATATGACGGCGGTCTGTAAATAATCGACCTCGATCAGACAATCCAGTGATTGATATCATGAGCATCGATCCACACAATTGGAATCGATGACATGCTACAATCAAGTCAGCGCGCCTGACCACCCGATCCCGTTAGTCGCCTCTTACGACAAGCATAGTCACCCTTTACGGCAAACATGGGTAGGTGAAGACCTATTCTACCCCGGATCTTCACGGGTCGGCTTACCAGTAGTTTGTATATAACGTGTTCAATGTCAATATCATTTTTCATATTTATGTTTTAAAATAGCTCTTATCAATGCATGTACAATTAGTGACACATAAATAAACTATATTCCCACTTGGACAAGCAAACTAAGAATATTTGTTAGTAACAAAGATTTTAATATGAAGCTTTTACTACAAAATAATGCTGCTTTAGGAAAACTTGAATAAAATGTTTTAATAGGTTCCCTCGTTGCAAATGTTTTAAAGTTAGTTGATTTTTTATGTCTCATTTCGTAAAATGTTCAAAAATATGTTAATACCACAAGTATAATATATAGATATATGTATGTAGACATTTCTTTATGATCATCAGCCTAATAAGGCCCCGCATAGAGTATACAAAGGTTGTTTTACTCTGTGTCTGTGTGTGTTATTGTAGCCGTGACACTTCAGTGACCATTTCCTTCGTTTTATGTTTCATTCGTTTGTCCATCCATCCATCCATCCACCCATTCATTCCTTCAAAACATGACCAACGACCCAAACAACCGGGGTACGAAGACACGCAAGGAAATTGAGCGCGGCCATCCTATTCCTACAAGACAAATGCTAGCTCACGTTAAAATATTGATAAGAACCTAGCAAGCAGGAATGTATATGCATATATGTTTAAAGTGGGTTTTTTCACCTAATATCATAGCTGACTAACAACGAAACTGTTGGACATCTTCATACATGTACAATACCAACTGACCATCAAGATAAACACTGACGGTTTCAACTTAAACACACAAACATTCAACTATTTGTACGATTTAAGATAAGATAACACTTTATCATACGGAAGGAAATATGGTTTACATGAGCACAATGGGTCAGCTTATTGATAAACACATATACACATATATAAGAACACCACAAACGTAACTGAAATTAAATGTGGCACTATTGAATATATGTTCAACAATTATTTTTCGCAAAACACATTATAAAACCTGGCACAAGCCGCTATATGAATTAATCTCAACGTGCCCTGTGTGATCTCAACATCGGCAATCGTAGTCTGGGCGGACAGAAGGAGGAAGTTGATACACGTTTATTTAGAAGTATGATGAACTTAATACGTCGTTAATACCGCCGCTTTGCTGACATTCAAGCACACAAACCGACGAGTAGCCAGTTAAGGGGGAAGAGACTATAACAGCAACGATGCGTGAAACAGACTATAGCAGGCTCAATCGACGATTACCCGGGGTAAGTCAAACAAGTGTACTATTTAATAAGTGTTTCACACGGGTTATATATTCTCGCATTACTGCTCTACGGGCGCCGTCACAGGTTTTAGATAACATGTCAGTGTATGGCAAGTCACTGAGCTAAAGTTGTGGCATTATTCTAAAAAGGCGAAACAGCTGCCGCACTTCCTAGTTAGTGTCGGTGGACATGTTTTGATAGATAACGTTTTAATATCAGGTGGGGCGGACGTTAAGTGTTTATTACATATTTGGTAAACGGAAATTACAAGATCATTTTTTAAGGTAAGAAAAGTGAACATTGACATGGAGGATAATGTTTTTTTGTGGGATTGCTAAATATATAGACGAGATTAGATAACGGTTTTATGTCCCGGAGGTTTAGGAGATGTGAGTTACCTCCCTTGAACAGGTGCGTCTGTTGATAAGCCTGACCTCATGGTCTCAGGGGGATCCGGGGGGAGTGGAGGGGGGCTTTTGAAATCCAAATATGATATGTTGTAGGCCCTTGATCATCACGAACGCTTTAGAATGTTAGTAGCTTATACTCACATGGACAATTGTAGGTCTCTATTGATTATTTGCGATATATACCTTCTTCAAGATACTTATGCGACCGTTTAAACTGTCACACCGCGCAAACAGTTCATTTTACTCCTTTCATCGTATAGTAGGTGAAAAATTAGACGTTTATTCTTTCTTCCTCAAATCACCCAATATTTGAATGATGATACAACGATAGTTAACTAATAAAGTCATTAATACATACATGCATTAGTTTATATATATGTTATCACAGCTTAGGGATATACGCGAATCTGATTGACCAAATAGGGGTTTCAAATCACATTAATAATAGTTCTGTACGTTTCACTGCTGAAGGAATATTTTGAAACTGAAAAAAATTATCATTCCACTGGAACATTATTTAGAATGAATGTTCTGGGACACGAGAGAGCTTTAATATCCTTGCATCAAAATGTCAACATGATCGATCCCGTCTGTTACACATTGTGAGTGAGTGAGTTGCGTGTCAGCTTAATGTGGGAGGAAAGCCCGAAGTGATGCAGGTCTCAGACGTTTACCACTTCGATGAAACCCACAAGCGTGGGGATGGTGCTGACAAACCTAGAAACTAAATCGGGGCGAACCGGGATTCGAGCCCACAATCATAGGTTTTTGGCATGCCCTAGGGACGTAACTCTGCACAGCGAATCGCGGCGCCTTAGCCACCCGTGCCCCTACACATTGTGACGTCTTGAGGGTCTACAGAGTATCTTGATTACCCTTCCATGTGAGTGCAGTAACTTGATGAGGTCATGTTGACTATATACAACAACATGCTTAAATGCGATTATTGATTATCCCGTTACTCATTCACATCAGCTAAACATCTAACTCAACGCCACATCAATCATTGCCTCCGGTAACCCAGAATAAGCAACTAGTTTTACTGCGGTCGAATTGCGAATAAATCACCTGTTTTGAAGGTTAATGCACTTAACTGTTAATTGAAACCTTAAAATTTGAAACGCGTTCGGTTTCAAATTAGCTTGATTCGAATTAAGAAGTGTGTTAGGTGGTCATAAGGTGTTTCTATAGAAACAAATAAGTCCCCAATTCACCCCATGAAGCCAACAAGGGTGTGTGAGTGAGTGAGTGAAAAGTCACATCGGCAGTATTTCATCCATATCGTGACTAAAAAAGTCTATACATCAATAATAAATAGATTTAGACTAGAAAACCTGTCAACAAAGACCAGTACAATAACTAGACAGTCGCATATTTGTATTTAAAACTAGTATATGACCATAAAAGATATTACTATACATAACAATTCATTATAAAAGCGGGGGCGGTCGCGTAGCCTGATGGTTTAAGCGTTCGCTCGTCACGCCGAAGACCCGAGTTCCCGACATGGGAACAATGTGTGAAGCCCATTTCTGGTGTCCCCCGTCGGATATTGCTGGAATATTGCTTAAAGCGGCGTAAAACCACACTCACTTATTATAAAAACGAACTTCAGATTACCAGCAAACAAAGTTAAGCCACCATACTAGGGACCATGGGGACTTACGGTAGGATTTACACCATCCCTTTAGTCACTGGCGATAGGTAGGAAGTTTGGTCATAATTAAAATTACATATATACTGTGCTTAAAATACTGGCATGCATTAACATACTTTGAATGACATGGAACTTACATAACCTCTAAGGGAGACAAATATTTTACGCAACTTCCAACCCCATCGAGGGTGAGCCCACAAGATGACGGGTTGAGACTTGTAGAATATTGGAGATCCTGCAGCATTGGAAGTGGATTTGGAAGGTGGCCGTAATACCGCCATGTTGGAATCCGGTCGCAATGTTGAAACTGGCCTGACAAAAATGATCACAAGGTGGAATACAGCCATGCGACTCAATATTTGCCAAGTATTCCACATCACCAGTATGCTTAAACATAGACTTGTTCTTATATGTACTAGTGATTCGATATGCACGGGATATACCGTGTATGTTGGTTATGTAAGGCTGTGTTAATAATATACTCACTCCCTAAAGAAACGCACACCCTAAAATATGAAATATATTAGGAAACGAAAAGGATATCAATCACTTGTTTGTGGCGTGGAACTGTTGTATTCGTTCACTCACTCGACCCGTGAAGATCCGGGTCTTCAGCAACCCATGCTTGTCTTAAGAGGCGACTTTGCTTGTCGTAAGAGTCAACTTTTGGGATTGGATGGTCAGAATCACTGACTTGATTGATTGACATGATTGATGCATGTCATCGTATCCCAATTGCGTGGGTCGATGCTCATGATATCAACCACTTGATTGTCTGGTCTAGACTCGATTATTTACAGACCACATTTACAGTGCAGCGTTAAACAACAAATAAACAAACAAACAAACAGTACAAGCTTGAAACTCGGGTGATGTGAGGTACCCTAGTGCTTAAAGAGTTCGCTTGTCATGCCGAATGGGAACAATGCGTGAAGCCTTTTTCTTGTGTACCCCGCTTTGATATTGCTGGAATATTGCTAAAACTGGCTTGGATTACCACCATTAAGTGCGGCGTTAAACAGCAAACAAAACAAACAAACCCTCTAACTCCTTAATATTTCGTTTCAGCTTCGTGATGGCTATATACTTGAAGATCCATCTGGTGCAGTCATACTATGGTGAGATCACAACGTCAAGAAGACATTAATCTTTCTTAAATCGCATATGGCTTCACAGAACACCTGTGATACAAACGCATTGTAACCAAATTGCCTGAAGTCATAACGTGACTAATTTATCATGAGTACAACAGAGCAGTACAACATTTCAGAAGAAAGGTCTCGAGGTGAAAGGTTTCTTTTAAGAGCCAAATCCTCACTACCCATACTCAAACGATCCTGGAAGTCCTTGAACAAACACATTACCAACGGAGATAGAGCCTCCGTGGAGAAATGGTTCTTCAAAAGACCTTATGCAACCTCAAAGATAAATAATATTCCCCGAACTGTGGTCAGCCCAATCTGTGTAGCAGCGGAGAGTGGTGACAAGGGCATATTTGACCTACTCCTTGAGAAAGGATTCTCCCCCTTCGAAGAAGACCGAAGGAAGGACAAGATTGATACGACGCCTCATCGTCAACCATTTCATCTGGCTGCTTATAGAGGTCACCTTGACCTTGTCAGGGAGCTGCTGGAAGTTCACAAGGTGGAGGTCAACTCCTATGGAAGCGGAAATACTGGTCTTCATTGGGCAATTCTTGGTAGACATGAAGATGTAGTGAAGTATCTGCTCTCCAAGCGGGCTGATCCCAACATTGCGGACCAGATGGAGAAGGACATATTGTCAGTCATGAAAGGATCCCCGAATTACCATTACTGGTACGAGGAGTGCTACCCACTGGGCAAGGCCTTCAACAGGGGACTTAAGGACATGGCTCGGACATTGATCGACGCAGGAGCTGATATCAATAAAGTTCGGATATCTGGAGAAACGATGATATCTAATTTTGTGTCAGATGTCGGTGTCCGTGATATCGTCCAGATGGTGTTTGAGAAGGGTGCATACGCTCCGGTGAGGGACCTGTATGAATATGTGTGTCGAGCAACATTTGAAAAACAGGAAGATCTGATTTTACCAGTATGGCAGTTTCTACTGGATATGAACATATCGGTCCGCCATTTGACCAATGTCCCCCCGGATTACACGGCTCCTTATAAATATGATCCCACAAAACCGAACATTCTGGAGCTGATGTCGAGCGATGCCCTGTTTACTGAGAACGTTACACTAGCTGAAATAGTGGTCAGGTCCAGTTCTGATAGTGACAAGGATTGGTCATTTAAGGGGTTCAAATGGTTGTATAAGATATGTGAAGACTTTTCCAAGAAACCTTATAGTGGGATTTCTTCCTTGAAATATCTGTGCTGTCTACGTGTACGTACTTATATGGGCATTGTGTCAGTCGGGAGAGTGGATGTTCTTCCCGTAGATGTGACTTTGAAACGTTTGATTCGCATGAGTCCGTCAGCGGTATCAGTTAGAGCATAAACGTTATGCGTGTTCAGATTGATTTGCGGATGTTACTGAGTATATGAGCATAAAAATTTCGTTTGGAATCAAGGGCTTTTTGAAATTTGGAATTGAGAAATAAAGGATACCTGATCAAGAAATCCTTATCAAGAAAAGTATTCAATATGTTGTGAAAAAGGATTATATCAACTTTTCCAAAATGATGACCCCAAAAAATAAAGTCGTTCCTTAGAAATCTCACCTTCTGGACGGGGCGGTCGGGTAGCCTAGTGGTTAAAGCGTTCGCTCGTCACGCCGAAGACCCGGGTTCGATTCCCGACATGGGTACAATGTGTGAAGCCCATTTCTGGTGTCCCCCGCCGTGATATTGCTGGAATATTGCTAAAAGCGGCGTAAAACCATACTCACTCACTCACTCACCTTCTGGACAGTTAATGTTGGGAACGTTTGTAGAAATATACGACATTCTAGCCTATCCATGAATTCATTGATCCGGGGAACCCATCTGTGGAGTACTGGACAGAGAGCCTGCCCCAAGAGAGGAAGGACATTGGTTCGATCCCCGGGTCGCGTCATGGCAAAAGACGTAAACCGATGGTAATTGATGTTACCCTGCCTTAAGTGATAAAATACGGACTTGCCTTTCCGGTTTCAGTATAATGTGCCTAAGTGGGGTATCCATGCATGATAAATATGTGCATGCGTGTCGCTGTATGACTGAAATAGTCTAGAACGCCACACTAAACTCCATTTCACCTTACCTTGTTAAACAGGGCAATTCCATTGGAACCGCAACTATTTTGTTTCATTATATTATAAAAGTTGTTTTGATAATTCTTCTTTTCATATTGACCACAGTGAAAATATTTTCTTGACCAATATTTGTTAGTTAAGTTTTAGCCGTGCGTTCAAGTTTTATATAGTATTTACACTTGTTATGTACATACATCTTTTACAGAATAGACAGTACTTTCCGGAATTGTTGTTTGTGATTTTTATGTTGGTAGATTTCAGTTTTAGGAAATAAAAACATAATGATGTATGTGATAACATTTTCAGTGCCAATATTGACACATTTATCCCAATATACCTGCCATAAATTCATGTATCATATACCTATACCTACCAATGACATGAAGCATTTTGCATGTGCAATAAAGCCAACACAGAGACGGTCATATCCCAGGGGGTGTAAGAACCTGGCCCGTATTACACCCACTGCTAGGCTGATATGGCTTGTCAATGCATTTTGAATGGGCGATCAATATCAGCCCGGGTGGTAAGAAATTAGAGTTACGTCCCTTAGTGCGTCGTCTGCTCAGGTAGCTTTCCCGTGACCTTGTCTTTCAAACAGGGTGAAATTGGTGAGGGGGGGGGGGGGGGGGGGGGGTTGCAGTCGTCTGAGGCGCCGCAATTCGCTGTGCAGAGTTGCAACTCTTGGGCTTTCCTCCCACATTAAGCTGACACGTCGTGATATAACTGGAACATTGTTCAAAGCGGCGTTAAACCCAAATCTCTGACTGACTCATATCGGTGCACACATTTTCTGAATAATAGGAAGTAAAAGAGCGCCTTTAATTGGCAGAAAGCAACCACTGCTCCACTTTATGGAAATGATTGCTCGGTAAATAATAATATTGATTACCGTTTGTGTGATATTATTCTAGTACATTCTTAGAATATGTCACCATCTACCATAGGTTGTTGGCATTACCTTTTGTATACATGTTTTGTATATCAAATCACATAACCGTTAGACTGGCCTTTGAGAATATTCCAAATGGCGGGTGAAAAACTGAACGAAAAAACTTGCATTAGCCGGTGACCGATAACACTCTTCCAAATAAGATCCAGTTTCATTCTTTTTGTGGATTTGTTTAAAGTAACTCTGTTCTTACGTCTTGTCATGTGTAGGAATATTTAATTAGAAATGCATTAATCCGAGTGTGCCGAGATGTTGTTCAGTTTGACAGATTTGCTGCCATTGCAATATTCATGTGTACTTTAATGAATGGCGTATTTCCATAGCAATGTGTCCTGGGTTCTTATCTGTTCATAGCTGGTGTGTGTTGTGGGGGGGGGGGGGGGGGGGGGGGGGGGGCTTACTTGACGGTAAAAGTGCTTGAAGTCGCTCCATCGTTCGTTGACATCATGTTAGTTGTGTTAAACATATTATTAATGATTCAAATGCACATGTGCCTATGTTCTGGCAGAAAAAAATCGCTGTCTTGTCACCACAATACTCGGGTTAGAAAATGTCCGAGGGTTTATACTGACCATTAGAATAGGCCGCTACGTAGGTGGATGCCCTACCCCGCGTGAGCAGAGGACCTGGCTTTTATGACATTTAGTTATGAGTTTAGTTAAGGTAGTTCAGGACGTGCTAACCCTTTTCGCGAACACCTGGTGCCAACACTGACTTTTATTGATCCATTATAATTTTCACCGCTATTTTGTATTTTACGCCCGATGGAATCTAATTCGACGGATAATCGAGACTGGTTATTCTCTTGCGTTGACGCTTTTATAAATTATCACAATTTAAATCATGTTAAGGAATTGCTCATCAAAAGTTAAATGAAAAGATATCAAATACAATCACATACTTTACACAATTCTTCCTTTGAGTTATTATCAAGATGTAAGTCCTTTACTATTATCTTACTCAACATAGAGTGAGTGGGTTGCGTTTGACGCCGTTTTGAACACTCAGCATTTTAGTCAAATCACGGCGCACCAGCTTAGTTTTGGGGAAAATACCAAAGTGATGTAGGCATAAGCCTCAGATGTACAAAACATTTCGAGCTGACCATTTTGGTGAAACGCGTCAGCATGGTTACGATGTTGATAAGCCATAATCAGTGTGAACCTGAGATCTCCTCGGAATCATACAATCGACTCTGCTTTTAGCTGAGATTTCTATGACTATGGAAACGGGTTTGTCGCTTTTATCACCAATAGCCTTCGATTTGCATGTTTATTGTTCCTCTCACTTCAGTTGCCAATTTGTGAATATATTTACAGAGCGTTAGGTACAGGTTTAATAACGTTTTGACATATCCTAACTTATAATGAAAAATGAAACAATCTTTAACAATTAATTAATATTATAGTGTTATGCGGCAGTCGGCACTGTTGTGGATTCACTTGTAGTAGTTGTGAGTAGGCGAGTGGAATTATGAGTTACCGCCCTTTTCTACAGCAACATGGCAGGCTTGATCATTGGAGAAGTTTCAGTATGGTACAGGCTGGCTGTATCTGTATAAGATCGAAAGGCGGGCGATTCCAGGCATTTTCGACCTGACTTAGTGTGGATTGGATATCTAGTTGGAAACACCGAATTCCAGCCAAATCCCACACCGTGACAACATTTTGGTCGTTCGTGAGTGCGCTATGATTAATTATGTTAAAGTTCCTGATTGCTGCTGTCACTTATTTGACCCATTGTAGTGCCTTGTCTTTTTTACCCCCAAACGTGTGTGTTTCAATATTATTTAAGTATTCCTTTATTTGTGTGTGGTCCTTTACAGTATATGACACGTCGCTTGTCAAAAACGATGCGCTATGATATTCCATACTTAGACATGAACATGGAATTTCCACACCTCTTTATTAAATGGCACTTACTTTTCAATGAAAAGTGTGTGAATGGCGGGTGCAATCTTTAGAGCATGACATGCTTGACCCTTTCGCGAGCACCTGATGTCATCACTGATTTGCAGTGATCAATTCATATAAATTTCACCGCTATTTTCCCTTACGCCCTATTTAATATGTTTCGGTGGATATTAAAGTCTGAATATTTTTGGGCATTACTGTTTTGAGTTTACGTAACTGCGTTAATCTTTGTGTTGGAGAAGATCCGGGGTAGAATAGATCTTCAGCAACCCATGCTTGCCATTAAAGGCGGCTATGCTTGTCGTAAGAGGCGACTAACGGGATCGGGTTGTCAGGCTCGCTGACTTGGTTGATGTACAGTCAAGTCCCGTTAATCCGACATCGATGGTTGCATATGAGTATGTCGGATTAACGAGTATGTCGGATAAACGAAATTTAGTAGTATCAACGTTCGTGATTGAAAATCGGACAACTATATGTATACAACTGTATGTCATCGATCCCAATTGCGTGGATCAATGCTCATGATGTCAATCACTGGATTGTCTGGTCCTGACTCGATTATTTACAGACCGCCGTCATATAGCTGGAATATTGCTGAGTGCGGCGTTAAACAACAAACAATCAATCAATCTTTGTGTTGGAGGAAAGTCTGAAGTGATGCAGGTCTAAGACGTTTACTAATTTGGTGACGCCCACGAACTCGGGTATAGTTCCTGGAATACCTAAAAGCTTATCGTAACCAGGCCGGGTCGGGATTCGAACCTGAGTTTCTTGATCGACTTAGGGACTCAACTCAGGAGATATGTCAATTCTAGATTTGACGACGCTGAATACAAATATGATCCAGATCTTTAGCTTCTCTCTGTTTTGCGTTATTTACAGTGCCGGGCAAAAGTATACACCCATGTTTGATGGTGTTCAGTGTTTTCAGTGTTTCGGCAAGTATTTTCAGCCTAGTAACGTTTTGAGAACGTTTGATTTTTTTGGCTCAAATCAATTTTTAGTGTAAATTTTGTTTTAAAGTCTTGCTTGACAACGGTATAAGAATCTATACGGAAACGTCGTTTTTTACAGTATTAAAGAAGTTATCCATAAAATTGTGTCTACCTTGAAATTTTGTATTTCTCTGCAGGAAAATATAACCACACAATGTCGGGATAAAAAGCAAATGCTTTTCGACTTTTAATAATATTTCGTACTTGTGTAGATAGAATTACATTATTGTGAGACCTCGTCAGTCCGAACCTCCTTTTTCCGAAAACCCCACCAACTGGACGATATTGTTGGTAAAGACATTCGATAATCCAGACGATTTCACTGCAGACAAAGTCCCAGCAACATCACATCAACATCCGTTTACGTGACAGGAAACAAAAAGGAAATGATTTGTTTCAACTGAGTAACGCGTAAAATACTTTTCAAAGATGTTGCACAAAGAGACACGCCTTTGTGCAGTTCCATTCGTTTCCTGTCAAATATTTTTAAAAGTGAAGAATAAATGCCGAACGACGTAAAATAATGCGCTTTTCTTTAAAAATATACTTCATACAAAATATATTTGTGCCTTTATCATTAAGTATAGAATATTCGACGTTGGACTACAACTATGACAAGTAATCGGCCGAATGAGAAAGATTTCTACAGAACAATGGAACATCTTTGAAGCCTGGGAAAGATTGCTATTTACGCGCAAAACGCACTTGTTCATAGAGACCAAGTTGATAAGAACAACATGGTGAAGAATCACAATTCAGACATTTGCTTTCAAAGGCCCTTAGGCGATTTAGTTAAACAATTATTAAATTGTTTATGGTATTTCAAAATGTAGATGAAGTGTTTTCACACGAGTTTGATTAACAATCTCACTCCGTCTTTGATTGCTTCCTCAGCGTTTGGTATACGATCACGTGTGCCCAACACGAATCCATGCCACAACAG